GTGCACTCATTCTTTACAATAAAGCTCACTTGACAAAAACAGCCAAAGTCTGGAAAAAGATCAGAATTTCAAAAGCACAAAAAAAAAAAGATTTATATGTCACTTTTCTAATTATTAATAAGTTCAAATTCTTAATCTGGGAGGCAGTTAAATTTCTGGGGAAGTCTAGATAGCAATTTTTTTGCAAAAGGTAGGTGATTTTCCATTTATTAAATATTCGTTATAATATCATTCTTTCCTTTCGTCAAACTTCTTCAAGTTAAACTAGCGAATCAAATATAATTGTATAATATATAAATTATATAAAATACCTTTCTGAAAGTATTGCAATGTGCCAAACATACAGGCAATAAGATTTTGGAACGCAGTTCGCAATTTGCAATTCAAAAGTGAACTGCATTCTAGAACGCAGCTCGCAATTCAAAATTTAAACATAAGTTTTCGGGTCTGAAATTTTGAGGGTGGGATACTAGGGGCCAGTTACTACTTCTGTGAAAAAATGGTGATGGTACCATCTCTAACGCCAACCATACACGAAATTGAGAATAATAAAAATCTCATCAACTCATTTTTATTCAATCAATGGTGATACATCTTTCACTTTCCCCATACAATAACCTCAGCTGGCGTCAGAATGTTGGAGAACCCTTCAATAATTTGAATCTCCACGTATCGTCCCACTATGGCATAGGGACAATAAATTCCGATCCGCTCCGCGTCCTTCGCAAATCCGGAATAATATCCACAAACAGTCATACCGTCAAGTGTCCGGCCCACTTTTACGACGAAATCATGAAGCTGATTGCCTAATACAAAAAGAAGGTAAACATAATTATGTCAGATCGGTTTTGTAATGAAGCTTGAATAAGAAACTCAGGTTTTCTTCTATATAACTGGATATAAATTGTTACATTTGTAGCAATTTTTTAACAATATTTCCAGGCAATTAATACATCATCATTTATCAAATTGATATCTTGATTAGATTATATGCAATCATTTCCAATTTTACATGTACATGTATAGGTATCATCGGAGGCCATGGAATCAAAAAAAGAAGGAACATTGGGAGAAATTTCAAGCAGAAGTACAAAATCTCTTTCATTTGAATGATAATATAAATCATTTTTATAATTTCCTTTTTGTAACCTTCAGAGATAGTTTATTTAAAATATATGATTTTGTCGTTGGTGAAAGTCTTCGAGCTTTTTTTAAGAATAAAAACTCAGGATACCCCAACCCCCACCACACACATACTTTTAAAGTTCTAGGACTATATAAAAAATAATTTAAAAATAATCAAATGAATGTTTTCATTTGTTAAATGTTCAAAGTTATGAAAAAGTACAGCTCATTGAATTTTTTTCTTTCAAAACACAGATAGTATCTCTTAAATAAAATCAAAATTAACAGAACAAAATCAATATTTCTTACCACAGCAAAGTTGTCTGGAAAACACCTCTATTTGAAATATGTGGTAATTTTTCTCGAGGTCAATCCGTAAATAAGGATTTTTGTCGTGAAATGTATGGGCATGGTCGTTCAAGATTCCGTTAACAGCATTTGATCCGGGCCATTGTGTGTTGTTCAGATAGGAACTTAAAGTCACCGGTTTATGTAACGCTACATTTTTATAAACAGTTTCTATGTCTGCATTTCCATAATAGAAAAGGGAGAACACCACAAGTAATGTACGTAACATGACTGAATTTAGTCTGATTTGACTAGAAACGTGTCCCTTTATATATAATTCATTATCTACTGTTTGAATTTTATTTATTTTTGGAAATAAAAGTGTGCATTGTTATCAAAACAGAGCTTGGAATTTTTGCTAAAATTTCCAATATTAGGGATTCAAAAATTTCTATGGATCCGGAAAAATCTGCATTTGCGAAAACGTAATAAGCATGTCAAAAAAAAACTCTTAATATCAACTATTTTATATGCTAATTCATGTAAGTGGATTTTGTATTACAAAAAATACGATAATTAATACAAAACATTAGCACGTAATTCAACGTGCATAAGATTTCTCTAAATGATTTATCAAAGGATCATTGATCCAAACCAATGGAAACATTAAATAAAATAATAAGATACCGTTTACGTGTTAAAAGTACAATTTATTACAACGTAAAATATCAGCCAATTCACAAGTATTGCGATAGTGAGATGTAATGTACACGCTCACTATGATTACAATTTTTTGCAATGCCCAAACATTCCCTTTTTTTCAGATATAATCCATAAATTATACATTGGCAATACTTTGTCTTTATTTTACACAATGTTTTCAGAATTTATATTATGAATAAAATTATCAAAATTATATCTGTGTTTGTTAATAAGTAAAATCCCGTAGTTTTAAATTTTGAGTTCAATAGTTAAGTCCGATTTAAAAAAAAGTTTTTGTTCTCGAACCAGGCTTGGGGTAATGCTAATTGTAATGGTAATGCATTGCAATGCATTACATGAACTCAAAGTAATGCTAGTAATGTGTAATACCCAAAAATTTGCATTACATGTAATCGTAATGGTAATGCATTACTTCATAAAATCCAGTGTAATGCTGGCATTACACAGCATTACTAAGCATTATTTTGTATGAACCTATTTTAAGAAATTAAAATGGACATGGATGATGGATGATGGATATTATTGTTTAGGTTATGTTTTATTTATTTTTTGGCAAATGATAAAATGGAATAAAAAAGTTAATCTATTTAAATAACATTTCTTTATCTTTTTAAATACACATTTTATTCTGTTAAAAGTACACTTACCTTACATTCAAGTTTTCAAACTTATTTCAGATAAGAATTGATTTCAAAGAATTAAATAAAATAGTTATAAAAGATATTTTAAAAAAAATCACATATGAGATACACTAATTAATGTACAGTGATAATTGCCACCTTTTTGAATAGCTAGAGTATCATCAAAACACACTACGCCTCTGGGTTATGTAACAATTAAAACAATCCATTGTTTGGGGAAATGCTCCAAATTACTAGTCCCTTTCTCCTGAATGTGTACATGTATATAAAACATTAATTAAGCTGGTCTAGCTTGTACTGACCATGAAAATTTCATTGTACCAAAGAAAATAAAAGACAAGCAGGCTTTATATGATTAGCAGATCAAAATATACAGTCTAGTTGTTTACTTTTTCGAAAAGTTTGTCAATGCAATAATTTTTTTCATAAGGTACTAATCAAAATAGCCTATATGCTTTATTATTAGATATTTTAGGCAGCTATAGGGGTTTAAGTGTCCCAATAGTTAAATCAATAGTTAAACAAAAAGTGGATATTGTACATGTGTTATATGACAGACAATTTAAAAGTTTGAACTTTCTGTGAATATAAGTTATTGACAATGTAATATATACAAAAACTTGAAATCAAATTTGAATTATTATTTATTTTGTTTAGTTTTGAAGGGGGTGGATACATACTTATGAAAAAAAATTGCAAAGTTTCGTATGAATTTCTATGTTAAAAAACCTCCAAAATAATGGTAATGGTGATGCATTACTTTACTAAAGTAATATTAATGTAATGCATTACTTTAGGAAAATAGTGTAATGGTAATGGTAATTTAATGCCAAAATTGTTGAAGTAATGGTAATGTAATGCATTACTTTACATACTTTACAATGTAATTCGCCCCAAGCCTGTCTCCAACATCAGAATTTGTAATTGACTTATTAATTGTTGGTACATCCGTTCAAAAGTACAATACAAATCAGTAAAAGCCTCCACCCCCCACCCCCCCAAATTCTCCAACGTTTTCTTTAATAATCCTTTATATCATTTTACTTTCACTACTAATAACTAAAGATGATTATGATATTAATATTGTCTATTGTCTAAATCTTAAACGTTCAAATAATATGTCTGTGCTAACCCTATAGGTTTATACACCTGACATATGTACATGTACTACCTCTACTGTTTTGGAGGTCCGTGTTTGTCATGTTTCTATTTTGTAAGGTCAATTGAGTCTTCGGCTCAGGTAAGCTGCAAAAGCTAGCTAGAATACGGTCTGATGCGTATTCGTGATTCCAGAACAAGTTTGCGATAAAATATATATAATCATGAGATATAGATATTAAATTGATCAGTAATATGATACAACGTGTGTGACATGATTTGAACATTAAGAGAAAAAAGATCCTGTCATAAAACACCTGTCTGTTTCAGTTTTTCTATATAAAAACCCTATTAATTTAATAGACGATGCAATGTAAAATTTGAGATACTAGTAAAAGAAACAATCATGTAAGTATTTTAAAATTTTTTCTTCATTCATATATACATGTCTACAAAGGTGAAACCTTTGGAATAAGGGAGCTGAAACTCGAAGGGGAATGATGGATTTTTTTTTTAATTTTGTATCCAATACTTAATAGAAAAGAGTTTGAAGTTTTGGACTGACGATACTTAAAAAGGCCTGCATATGTCTTGTATTTGCGGACAATTGCATTTTCCAAATTTAAAATGTTTCCAGAAAAAAGAAAAGAATATTATCCAGAAATAAATGAAAGATCATTCATGTATCTTGATCAAAGGTGCGATTCCCAATTTAATACTGTTTAAATAGGGATCTAGACTTTGCCATGTAATTATTTTCCTCATTTTGAAAATAAAATAAATCGATGATTCATTATGTAGCGATAATGAGTTGTTTTGGTAAAAAAAATGTAGCGGTAATGATCGGTAAAAAATTTGAGAAAAATATGTAGCGGTAATGAGTTGAAATTTTTGGCAATGTACATGTAGCGGTAATGTTGACCCCCCCCCCCCCTTCTTCTGGAGGAGGTCAACACAGTCTAAAAATGATCACAACCACCCAGCCCTCTTAAAACTGTTTAGAGAAAAAAAATTACAAGAGTATCATGATAATTATGAATAATTTGTATAATTAAACAATGAAGAAATGCAACACATATATTTGAGAAGCGTGTCCTTAGACCTTAAAAAATATTTAATTACAGGATGATATCTATCTTTTTTGTGAACGTTCTTGTCCTGTTGCTGACCAGTTCCTTGGCCGATCCATCCCCTCCAACTGCATTCATCAAAGACTACGACAGTTACATGAAAGTTTGTCAACGACTAACTTGTAAAGAAAGGAAAGGTATAGTACTAAGGTTTTTTTTTTTTCCCGATAGCATATTAATCAACAATTAACTAACAGAATATTATCAACATTCAGTTATTAGACTAAGATACAATTTCATTAGTTTTTACATATATTAAGCACGGAACATATAGTACATGTATATGCGTCACTTGTTTAAGTAAATTGGCCGGTGGTTTCGATTATAAATTATATTTTACATTAAAAAAAAGCAGAATTCTGACCTTTGCAAATTTGAATTTCTGCGGTTTTTAAGCTTTCACAATTACTTGAATTTGTTTTAAAGACTTTTTGTGTATAATGCATGGATATTTAAAATTGATATATTTACAGGAAAGGCTTCACTCTTTTGATTAAAAATTACAACCAAGTTAAATAAGATAATAGTTATGATATAATATTTTAATTTACTTTTCATTTTTAGTCAATATTATTTATGTAGATGCATTATCACAGCACATAATGATAATAATTCGAAGAAAATAGTCTATTGTCTTTAATTGACTTTGATTTTGCGTTTAATGTGCATGTTTGTGTAGTTTTGATAACAGAGATTATATTTAATTTAGCTCCTTTTGCCGAGATAATCGCCTTTCATGCCAATTTCAAAAATCATCTCAATAATGTTCCTGCAAACACGGTCATAAAATTTGACAACGTCCAGTTGAACAAGGGCAAAGGATACGATCCGAAAACAGGGATTTTTACAGCACCGGTGGATGGTCTTTACTCTTTAGATTGGTTATTCGTGTCCTTAAAGGGTGGAACTGTTTATCCTTATCTTATGGTTGATGGTAAAGAACGTGTTCGAACCTGCATTGTGAATCAACAAGCCGACTACATCTCTACAACGGGTCACTTTGTTACCGAGCTAAAGAAAGGAAACAGGGTGTGGATCAAAAATCATGTTAAGGCAAAATTTATTAATGGAGGCCTTTTCAATTACTTCTCTGGATACAAAATTAATTAACTATGAGTAGAACACCACAGTTTTAATGTTATAGCTTTATTTTAACTTGTGCATAATTGATTACAGAAATAAAGTAGGGATACATGAACATATAGGTTGTTGTTAGCTTTCACTTATAATTATTTTTGTCTACTTAACTCTATTGTAACATAGTCCCATAATAACAAGATGGACACCTGCTATAAAAATCATTTCATCGAGAAAGGAAAGTTGGTTTGAAAATAAGTTATAATAATAATAATTAAGCCTTAGGTCAACGCATTCTTTATTAAAATCTCGATGATACTACCAATATAATTTAAAAAGTGTAGACATAATTTTTTTCATTAGACAGAACTCCAAAACCCACATGTATAATTCAATTATACACATTACAATGTCACATCCCCTTATCCTTCCTGATTAGCCAATAATGTTCATTAATTTTCATCTTCATACGAGGGATTTTAAACTGGAAGCTTTTTATTATAAAAACAACACCTGAGAATAAGAACATTATGATTTAAAACTAGAATGCTGATGATACATGTAACACCATTAAGGCTCGGACTAAGTTCACATTTAGTACATATACTTTTTTATTGGACTTGTGTCTTAAATAGTTCTGTATAAACCTATTGCTTTGTACTAAATTTTTTTTTTGATCGATAAGGCTCCGAACAAAAATATTTACTTTTTGTTACTCTGCAATTCATATTTTAAATACCACCCTTAAATTGATCTAAAATGTCCAGCAATTATGACATTTCAAAAGTTAGAATTTACTAGTCCAAAGAAAACAGCAAACAATTTCTAACAATACAATTCGTTTTGTTTTCTTTGTAAACGTGTACAATACTGTTCTACTAAACGTTTGATTATGATGGATTCTCATAATTTGATCCTTTTACTGAGTTTAATAAAAAGAGAAAATTGTTTTCCTTGAAATTCACAGAAGACATATTAGTATACGAAATGATTAAATATGAATGTGATTAAAAGGGCAGTAGAAATAATGTCCTTGTATCTTCTATTCCTTCTACTCTATACTGAATCTAAATCTATGAAATAATTAAAAGATAACACATACATGAACTGATATTTCGCCTATTTTTTTTTTAAATATGTAACTATATTTTTCTTTGTTCCTAAGGTGTGAATAAAATTTAAACATCGGTGCACCAATACTGTTTTCAATTCCAACCAATGGCTTTGTCAATTCTTTTCAAAATCCCCCACTAAGTGTTTACCGACACTGTGAAATGACTCAGCTTCGCTGAGCTGGTCCTCTTCATCGTCAATAAATTTAAGTGCCTCAAGCATGTCTTTCTTATCCGAAGTCTTTGGTTTCGAGTCGACGACATTTAGTCTTCTCTCTGTCGGCTTTCCAAACTCTAAAACAGGTTGGGAGAGGGAAAGATCCGAAAATACGGCCCCAAAACGTTTGCTGTCTCCACTACCTGGACGTTTCTTGGGCAGAGCATGCGCACTATGTTCTTTACCAATGGAAGATGGCATTTTCTTGTTTTCGATTGGATCGTGCAATTCCGAGAGTGCCAGCTGAGGGTGCATTGATAATCTTTCCTGAAGCTCTCGCAAAAACACATCAGCTGGGATTCCTGTAAAGAAGTTGAAAGGCATTTTAAATGCACTTACATATCTTTTTTCAACTATTTCTTTCAAAATTTAGTTTTTTTGTATCCTGTTTAGAATAAAACAACTAAAATATATAACCTGATGATCCGCTAGAAAGGGACACGGACGACGTTACAACATTGAAGATAATGTCCCCCAAAATCTGTCTATGTAGATGCTAAAATGAATTTTAAAATTTGAGATAAATAAAGGCATTACTCTATACCTCTTAAAATTAAGTAAAGATATTAATCAAAGTCACTGAGATATAAAGAATTCGTCAGATTTTTTAATTTACAGACCACATCCTTTGCCCTCTGGAGCAGAGTTATAACAGAGGCTATTTGGTCTTCCATTGCTAGTAAACGACTACATTCGATTTCCACAGCCTCTAGCTGAAACTGTGAGGAACTCATGTGTTTACGACAGGAAGTCAGATCCGAACGCAGACGCTCAATTTCCTATAAACAAAATTTGAAAACACTTTTGATGGTAATTTACAAATTGAAATGCTGAATACTGGTCGACGGTATTTATTTAGTGTGTTAACTGTAAGCTCTGTTTAGCATTCTATATTTACAATGTATACTGGTGCATATGTACCTAGTACATTTTGTATTTGTATATAAAGTGATTTACACATTAATGTACATGTACATCCGAAGCAATGCAAAAAGTATGAGAAGAGCGGACGCGGAATCTCAATTGAAGTGGAATGGCCGTTACCTGGGATTGGTCCCTATTAATCTGCGACAGTGAGTTTACGTCTTCATGAAGTCTCGCCAAAAGTTTACGTTCCGGATGTGGAGATGCTCCATTGTTCACTTCCGGGGGAGAGCCCCCACATCCGGTGCTGCGACTGTCGAGACTGATGGAGTCGATGTCCCTCAGGAGCTCGTTCATATCAGACAGGCCGACACGGCGTCTCTCACAGGTCGAATTTTCTCCATCACCTGTACATAGCGAAATGAGTGAAAAGTCATTTTTTGGCTTTGGAAGCTAACATAAAGAATGTTATCATAATTTAAAAGGAATTGATGTTTAGGAGAGAACACTTTTTCCCGCAAAGCCCCACTACTTTCCACTCTCCAACACCCCCCTTAATCCTGATATAATCTTTTGAATGAACATAAAGTTGAAGATTTTGAAAGACTTCATATTTTTTTGGAAATTATTTTTTCTTAACCTACTATTGCTCTCTGTACATGTACCCGGATAGGCACGCTTACTTTATGAAAATGTATACATGTACATGTGTCTGTATGTACACCATTCATTAAACTGAGTCAAACAAGAGAGATTTCAATGTAAATCATTAAGTAATATGTAAACTGGTCAACTGTTAATAGATTATTTTTCCTTAATTCAAAATTATATACCTTCGTATCCCATAGCCACCGTGTCCAATGGGAGACTTTCGGACATGTCCGATAAAGTGTTGAATCCCGAGGACATACTGGCCTGGTCGGCTGAGTGGTCATCTCCTTTCTGGGTCCTTTATAACATTAAAGTAAAATATATGGAATTAATTAGGGAATGCATTTAACACTAACATCACCATTATAAACATTCGAAAAACTCAAGACTGTTGAAAATTGTAATATTGTATATATGAACTATATATACTAGGCTTAATTTTTTTGTACATGTACTATTACCATCAATAAGTTACATGTATATGAATCTCCTTTCTGGGTCCTTTATAACATTAAAGTAAAATATATGGAATTAATTAGGGAATGCATTTAACACTAACATCACTATTATATACATTCGAAAAACTCAAGACTGTTGAAAATTATAATATTGTATATATGAACTATATATACTAGGCTTAATTTTTTGTACATGTACATCACCATTATATACATTCGAAAAACTCAAGACTGTTGAAAATTATAATACTGTATATATGAACTATATATACTAGACTTAAATTTTTGTACTATTACCAATAATTAGTTATATGAATAACAGGTTAAATGAAATAAACAAAATACATTTTTAAAAAATGTGAGTTTTTAATCTGGCATATAGGTGTTTAAAACACAAAATAGTAAACACACTTTACATGCATTAAGATTTTATCAACACACTAAAACATCTATTAATACATGTATACCGGGAGGCAGACTCGTCATCCGAGTTGAGAGGTGTAAATTTTCCAAGGCTCTCAAGGTCTTTGACTTTGGTTAAACATTGCTTCAGATTCTCACGTATTCTTTCATAAACACGTAACATATCTTCCAGTCTCTTGTTACACTGAAAGTTTTTCTCCTGCAAGGCACAGATATCGCGATCGGCGTCAAGCAAGTCATGTTGGAGTTTGTTGTTCACTGTCAGTAAATCTCGCACCTCGTTCTCTCGGATTTCTCGGAGATGGTTGATCTCCGAAGCCAGGATTTGTAGAGACCTATTGTCGCCATGTTGGTCAAAATACGAAAGATCCCAAGGACACGACTGACGTTTGTCTGTTTTACCTTCTTGCTGTAGTCTACTGTCGTATCTTTCCGTTTTTGCAATCCGATTTGACATCTGCATCGCCGTTTCTCTCGTGACACCATCTCCAGAGCGGTTTTCTCCGTAAAATGCCGAGACAATATTCCGCCTGGAAAATAGAGGTTCGGATTGTTCCCCATAAGCAGCGGCACTTCTGCTAATTCCAATGTAAGATCGACGAAGAACGTTCTCCCTGGACTGTTCACTATTCTGAAAAGATATGTCCTCTATAATTCCACGGATGTTATTTGCGAGGATTTTCAGTTCTGTTGCGTTTCGTTGTCGCGAGGAGCCATGTTTTCTATGTCGCCCAGAACGAGGCGCTTTCTTTGCCGTCACGGGCGACAACTGCAATGTACGGGGACGAGGTGGCTTTTGATCCATGGTTTACACGTTTATAAAAATCCCCAAACACCGTGTTTCCATGAAAAAAAAAATCAACCGAATTACTACGCCTCAATTCCTGCCACTTCTTGAATCCGGAGTAAAGATAACTGATTCTAAGTTCTCGAATGAAGAGATATTTTTTTAAAAGCTCCAGAGTATCTAGTTACATACTGATAAGTATACAGATGAAAATATTGAAATCCGTCTAAATTTAAAAACTCCATGATGATGTTAACCTGTTTCAGTGATATTTTATTAAGATTGCGCGACCCCCTGCGCTGAATGAAGATAGATAACCTAATGCCTTGGCGAGCTAGCCATTAGAAATGTACAGCTTAAAGTAAAAGAAGATAAATTCTGGTTCTGAGGGCGTGTATTTGTTTTGTCTTCCTATTTCTGCATTATGTACCTATCAAAATCTTATCAAAATGTAATAGCTGGTATCGGTAACAACTGACAAACAAGATGAGCTCAAAATTTAACTCTGATGTGCAAGTACGTATATTTTCCTGATTTTTTTCTTTACATTGCTATGTATTTATCCATTTGTTGTAACTGTTTACAAGTAAAGGAACACGAGCATTTTTTTTATTTTATTGTCATATGTGGAAGAATTTCGAATTTACTATTCCGATTATTTTTTTCTGAATTTGTTTTGAAAATAAAATCGAAGATATCCAGTATAAGAAAAAAGTTCTAGTATAACATATCTTAATAAATAATAAACTATGTTGCTTTATACGAATTATAAATGTCATATTTTAGTCATTCCACAACTAACATTAAGTACAACCATTCTACTTTGATTTCCTTAATTATTATCATTAATCAATATAAATCTTGTTAAAATAATTACATTGAGATAAAAACACACAGTCTTAGTTTGTTGAACAATCTTTTTTACACTTGTTTCCTAAAAAAAAAAAACATCTGTGTAAGATCATCAAGGAGATCTTATCTCTTCCCTCCCGGAAAAACCGTGTATCTACGCTACGCTCGCCGCCTTATCAATGAAAACATTGCCGAGAATTATACGAACTCCAGAGAAGTTAAGCTTTTCATTCAAAGAAATACTTCATTTCTGATCTCAGTGCTGAGTTATTTATCCTAAACAGCAAATTTTACAGATCTTTTCATTCAATTTGCAGCTTATCAATTAAACTTTAAAATAATGCTGGGCGCACTCCAATCCCGCGCCGTGTAATTTGTTTTCAGAAAATTGATTGTATATATATAATAAAAGTTTTCATCTTAGAACGAGTTACAAAAAATGTCGTTTTTATAACTATCATGTGTAACATTTAAAAGTTGATTTATCTTATTTATTTATTGACAATATCTAATTATTTATAAATTGTTCAAATTAGATGAACATCTGACACCGGTCTCATTAAAGCCATGTTAGCTATAACTGACGGTAAAATTTTGCATGCTAATCTGTTCTGAAACATTCACCTACTTGTTAAACTAAGATAATACCAAGATTCTGTGAAGAAAATGCAGCATGGTAAACAAAAGAAAGCTGTTAATTGCATTCCTGCTGAGTGCGTTTTTGAACTGACCATTGCCTTCATTATCTCTCGGACACACGAGCCGATTATTCCCGAGTGTAAGCGGGATGCTGATAACGAGGTCAGACGAAGATGGAATCTGAGGTAAGAAGGCTGCTTTGTCTTTGTGTGTAATATTTTTGAGTTAACTGAATAACTTGCAAGCTAAAACAATGTAATATACTGTAAATATAAATGAAAATTTAGTATTAAACATTCTTAAAATAAGAACTGGTCAGAATCTTGCAACCTGCTTCATTTACATATAATGAGGTACCAGAGAGGGGTTTTTTGTAATCCATATGAATAGCTAGAAAAATTCGTATTTTGGGAATATTTACCAATTTAATGATTTTAACCCATAAAATATGGATATGTATATGATGCCTTTACACAGATATGACACATTTTACCTACTAAAGAGTTAAAAAATACATAAAGGATATTAAATATTTTGATATTGTAATGATTTTGCAGAAAATATATTATGGTTATTCTATTTCTTTTTTTAAAGGACTCAAATAGATCTAGAAGCGATGTTGAATTTAATAGTTCATCGTCAGAGTACTTGCCAGAGCCAAATACAAGAGGAAGAGGAAATAGATCAAGACGGGGTCTTACAGCTGTATGTATATTTACCTTATCAAGTGTGGTGTCCATTGAAATTTTAATTTTCACTAAGCATATTACATATTATTGAAGAAATATTACTGCTACTTTAACACAAATTGTAACAGGCACTCAGAGGTCGAAACAGAGGGCGTGGACGTGTTGGTGCCAGGAGAGGGAGGCGTGGTGGGAATGCACACCAGGGGCCAAATAGGCAACAATTAGCCATCAGAGCCAGACAGGAGAGGCAAACACATATAGAAGTAAGTAATATTATAACTTTATTTCAATATTTATATCATTATAAATAAATGTATAAATACATATTATATATAAAATTACTAAATATTTTATAAAATATTTTAGGAATGCATTTCATCGATGGACACTGAGGAATTAAGAACAGTCCTCAGACTAGTTTGTTCAAAGCAACCCTCATTTATGCTCGACATAATGGAAACACTGGAGGGTGGTGGACCAGAACAACCAGGTTCTGAGAGCAGGACTGCACCAAGCTGGTGCATCTGCACTTATTGCAGGGAGATGCCCACTGACAGAGAAAAAGTGTGCTGTGGCAAAACAAGGCAGAATTGTCAGTCAAGGCTACCAGTAAGCATACATTTTTTTTTTTAGAATTACTGCATTTGAACCTGGCAGGGAAATTAAAAAATCAAAGCGAATTGTATGTTACCATAGATCTATATATATTTTCAGGATTTCTACACAGTGGTTCTTGATGAACTTGTTCTTGAAGTTGCCTTGAGGTACTACAATGATGTACTAGCTGAGCCGAGAGATGAAAACATCAACAGATCTCGGAGGTATGCTGCCTACAGACAGTTCATCATGTGGGTCCATGGCAAACTTGGGGCAGGCAACAGAAAAGTCATCCCTAGCTGTTGTGTATGGCGGATCAGAGACACTTTCCCAGAACCATCGGGACAATATGTTGGGTATCTGGAAGGTGTGATGGACTAGGGGGAATATATGCTAATCACCAATTTTCTCAGTGAATCTGGATTTTTTCTCGGCTACAAGCTGAGATGTTGGTGGTGGTGGGATTGGTGCCAGAACTGAAGAGATTCTCCTAGGGTCATCAGCCTCGAGAATAACTGGTCTGTTCATACCAATCCCATCCAACAGTCTATTCTCCAGGCATTTCCTCATGAGGTCCTCTGTATATGGGTAGCTTTTGGACTTTTTGACCTCATAAGTTGCCCATCTCCCACTCTTCTTACTGTAGTACCTCTGGTGTCTACAATATTTTATTAAAACAATTATATTTATAGAAAACTTTTTACTTTGTGATGTAATAAATAATTACTATGATAACAAACACTGATAACAATAAATGGAGATAAATACCTCAAGGATCCATCTTTATTCTTTAAGGTGTCTCTGTTACAGTTACAGTTGTGATCCAGAGCTGCTATAATGTTTCTTCCCTTGTACACTGGTGGTGTGTAGGAATGTCTTTTAGAGGAATATTTCAGAATAAGGTTCTGAAAATTCTCTAAGACAACTGTACTCCTATGTAAAAATAATAACATATTCAAAAGATAATAGGTATGCAATTTGTAAGGCACACAAACATAAATAAAGTTAAAAACAAACAAACCTGCAATTCAAATAATATGGAATTTTTTTCAGGAGTCTTTTATCTTTTGCTATGTCCCTTACAGCAACATGGGCTGGTGATCCAGCCTCTAACCACCCCTTTTCGCGTTCTTCTGTCAGTGGTCCATGCATGCACGAACTTTTGGAACCAATGCGATATGGTAATATCCACTCATGTTGATTTACAACATGGTGAATAACACCCAACCACATACCCTACAAATTAAAAAAAATCTCTTTTGCAAATTTCTTATTTAAAATATTTATTTGGATTAAAATATCTCATGTAATTTTCAATCCATACTTACAATAAATTCATCCTCTGTCTCTGCTGTGTCTGCACAAAACCAAAAGTGGTTGACAATTTCTCTTGTCCACTGTAGTAAGGGGCGTTTTGATTTCTCTTGCCCTGCCTTTGAAGAAATATTAAACATGATTTAAACAGTGAAACAAACAAAACTTTCTCTATTTTATCATAGGTATATGTATTAAATGGTTTGCTTACCTGAATGATTTTCTTTCCCAGATTTTTACAGCCATGCCAAATATCAAAAGAATGTTTGATATGTGGATATTCTCTCTCTGTAAAAAACATGTAAAATGTCTTTATCATTTTAATTTAATTTCTTAACTAAAGTTTGTAATCAATCATGGATAAAAGATATCAACTTACTCATCAGTGCTTCGACTTGAACATGGGCATCTGTAACAATCTCTGAAATTATTAGGCCTTTGTCAAGAAGAAATTGTAATCCTCTCTGAAAACAGGCTTTCTCCAGTACTGCGCTCTTCCCCCCTGTCATGCGTTTATCCATGACAACAATATGGAGAATTTTGTGAGTGGTGTTTTCCATAAATGTGTAGGTGCAGAACTGGGCTGAGTGGCCTGGACTATCCATGCGCCCATCCCCTATAACAAGATTAAGGTTATATTAAAGGTTTTATCAATATGTTACTATACCATTCATGTTAGATGAACACATAAGTGTACTAAATATGCTTGTTGTATACCTAAAATCACCAGATTCTTCCCTTGAAATTCATTCATGATTTCATTTTGATGAATTTCCCATATCTGGTCAATGCTTTGCAATACATAAGTCCGTTGAATCTTGCAAAATGATGATTGTGAAGGGAAAGGAATCTTCAGAAACTTTGCAAACATTGCCATTTTTTGGAAGTTGTTTCCAGAAGCTATTAAGGCAGCTGATATCAAAACATCTGTGCTATGCAGGCCTCTGTTCAAAAGGGGCTGTGAACTCCATTTGTTTGCAGTATGCCCTTTCCCACAAACCTGAATACAGCCATGTAAAAAAATAATTTTTAAAATATTTTACAAAAAAAAACTTTAATAAAAATTTAATACTTGAAATTTCATTAACAACTGAAAAAAAAATGAAATTCCATCCTTCATACTGACCCACTTAAGGTAGACTGCAGAGGATACTGTTTGCAGATTCATTTGAACAATCTCGCCACATCCTTTCACCTTGCAAGTGGGGGGCACTGTTGTCCTTGCAAGTTCCATTAATTGCTGAGTATTTACAAAGACCGGGTGATCCTCAAGTAGTGTCCCGATTTCATCATTTGTTCTCAGTCTCTTAATGTTTGGACCGAGTTCTACTTCTTGTTCAGTCTCTTGAACGTTTTCTTCATCTTCCTCATCCTCGGATTCACTGGGCAGAATGCCATGATCCAGTCTAGAGATATAGCAAGTCATTATAACATTGAATGAAAACCATTGCATTAATAATTTTTGCCAAAAAAAAAAATCTGAATTTTTAAAAATATTTTTAATCAATTATCTGTATTGGGAAAGTGTCAGACTCACGTACCTCAGTGAAAGATGAAAACTTGGTTCATAGTCATCATCCACTGCATCCTCTATGTCATCTTGCACCTCAGATGAATACACAGTGAGACTGAAAAAAAATGATATGCAATGCAGGTTCATTTTAATTTATTGAAAAATATAATTTCATATGCCTCATTCAATTTCACTCACTCAAAAGGATCCAAGAAACTGCTTGAAAATGGATGACACGAAATTTTCCTACTGCTACTTGTGGCACCAACAGAATCAATGTCCTCAATTCCAGAAATTTCACTCTCCTCTCTAAAAATATTAATTGTTCTCATATTTGAAGATTTTAAAATCATATTTGCAAAATAAATATCTTTTGTGCATCAATGAAGAAAATTTCAATTTTATTGTACACACCTTTTCTTAAATTCATCTGTTGATATAATCGAAATTTCAGATTCTGAATCTCTCCTGGCGATTTTAAATGGAGCAGGTGTTGAAGTGCCATGTGGAACAAATTTCCCTCTATTATTTACGACATTAGTCTTCAACGTAGTCTGATTACGAGAGTTTTTCTCAGCATAACTTTATAAAACAATATTAAAATATCTAAATTAAATATTATAATTACAAAATTATGGGATTTATGCATTTAATAAAGTATTTTTATTCACAATAAGTACATAGATTAATTTATCTGTTTGTTTTTTTTAACTATTTTGATATTTCGTAGAATTTCCCTTCTTGGGGTCCCCTTGTGAACAGGACGAAACCTAACTGTTTACACCACAAGATATACAAGATAACAGTAATCTCTAATATTCTGATGAATGAAACATTCTTTTGTTTTCATATTTATTACTCTTAATCATCAAAGTAATATAAAATGATTCAATAATCTGTGTAAAAAAAAGCGTAGAAATACACCTACCAGTCCAGTAATACTTTCGCCATTTCAGCATTATTCTCAATGGCTAATTGGTTTTTTAATTCATCCCATCGCTCAATCTGATCCCCAATTGATATTCTGCATTTGTTCACGGTTGCATTTCTCTCCTTTTTGCGTCTTTTTCTCTCTGAATCGGTCAATTTTACTTTCGGACCACGCTTTCCCGACATTGTGATGATTGTTTACAAGATTGGCACATGCGCAATTAGAGCATTCCGAAGTAGTGACCCCAGGGGTCACTGAATATCGAGATAACGACTTAGGAATTAGTGGCTGGCAGCCAGTATTTCAGATCTTACATTTTATTACTGATTTAATGGTTTTGGAGGCGAATTTTCACGAAAATTAATTGTTACAATAGAAAAGAAAAGCTATTCTCGTAATTATCTGTCTTTTCCCCAATTTTATTTTTGGCACCGTGAGTTATAGCTAACATGGCTTTAAGCATCTTAAGCTTAAGTCAAAATATGTAAGTATTTTATTTATATGACGTCGATTTAACATAATTGGATTGGACATCAGGCATGGCCTATATATAGAGGGCCTTTCCAAATACAAGCTGTACAAAAAATGTTGATGTAGACAAGTAGACAAAAATGATTTCACATTTATCAATATTACTTCACTACAGAAGTGTTGTCAAGATAAATGCAGATTTATAGATCAGTGTAATAATAAAGGGAAAAAAATTCGATTGGATTTGGCTTTTGTCTGTTTCAACACCTTGTTTAAATACTATATACACATGTATTGTCGAGTTTCGCAGAAGGAAATATCTCACCAAGAAAATTAGTATTTAAAGGAGCCAAAATATCAATGTACCAATGTCATGTTCAGCGAAAGAAAGTTTAAAATCAATATCAATTTATTAGTCTTCGATCAAAATAAATTGACTGCAGGGGGCTAAATATTTGCAAAAACTGTAGCGTTATGGTTTTATATTTTAGTCTTTGACCATGTGGTCAAAAATAAATAAATAAATAAATAAAACCATTACGCTACTGTTTAATTCTCCAGCAATGGATTTGGGTGAATTTTTGTAAGGAATGAAAAAATTTCATTAATAACATTCAAGCAGATTGTAAGCAGATTGAATTAATTTGTTTAATTAATAATTAAAGGGTACATAAAGTTTTTAATATAATTCTAGCGTATATACAATAGCAACAGTGTGTGATACATTTATTCCTTATTTTTTAAAGAGCAGAAAAAAATTATTAGGGCTATGGTGCTTAGGTCTTTTTTCTCTCTCGATATTTAGGTCAATTTTTAAGAAAAAAAGTATTTTGATAATAGCAAATTTCTCAACAAAACTATACAAAGTAAATGATATAGTTTCAACTCAACTGTATTTTTAGAAAATTAACAGACCGCAGTTCGCACCGAATGAACATGAAATCGATACAGAAACCATGTATTTTTGTTATTCATTCAGGCCAGGAATTAGGTTGCCATTGTTCATTGTCAATGTGCAACTAAATTCAATAAATGCACGAAGTTCTTTATCGATTAAAATTAACTTCTTTAAAATGTATTTAATTAACAAGTTCCAAAGTCAATTGCAAGTAAAGTATATTTTGGAATTGGACCATTATCACGTTCTTCTTTCACAGCATTTTCTTAATTCATCAGACCTAAAGGACTAACGCATTTGCCCACGTCTAAAATGAGGGCACTTAATATTAAGATTTTATTTCCACTATTTCTTCTTAGTGTTCTATTGAGCTGTAAGGCCGAGGATTGTACATCTCTGTTATATGACAAAGATGTACCGGAGGCGTTCAACACTCGTACCTACGAGACTATAACGACATTTCCCGGCTCCGTGATCGGCCATTGTTCTGGTAGATGTTTAGGAAATCTGGAATGTCAGGCGGTAGAGGTTTGTGAATCCGGCGGAGCGGAGTATTGTAGATTTGTGAAGGGATGGGATCCTACTTTTACAGATTCGGGCAGCGGGGGCACATGTCAGCAGTATAGAGTGGTAAGGACAGAATAAGTGTAAATTACATTAATAATTATAATTGATAAATAAACAAATTCAATTTAAAACAAATGATCGTACAAAGAAAAAAAGATTATTAAAAAATATGTATGTTGGACGCTTCATCAATTTTAGAGATGTTGACAGGGCACTTTGGGGGCTGTAACCCCCCCCCCCCCACGCCTTTTATTTTTTTCCTTTTTAAATCTACCTGGTATCAAAAGGGTTACATAATCGATATAAAGTAATGCTTATTAAACTACCAAAATTGGAAAAAGGTGTGCCCACCTCAGATTTAAAAAGAAAACAAATGGAAAGGGGGTGGGAGGGGTCATGCCCCAAATGCCTTTCTTATCAAAGACCTATATATAATAAACAAATGCTAAGTATTTAAGTTTAATGTTTTATTCGAGTTGGCAGGTATTGTCCACAGTGGTCTACACAACAGTGGGGCAGCCGGCAAAATGGCATACCCCCAACATCAACATAAGTTGTGCCCTCCCTGACGGGAAAAGTAGCACGCTGGGTTGACCTCATTCGTGCTACGGACACATTTCAACACAAATTGTCTTTTAATTATATTATTTTGCTTTAGATTTACATTATATAAGATATAATTTTCAAAGTCAACATCACATATATCAACATCAATCATCACTTATATCAACATCAACCACAAAAAGTCAACAAAATCAACAGTTCAATGGTTAAATTGAAGGTGACGATTTCGCCAATACGACCACTGTGAAGTATAGTCTACTGTCTTTCCCCGAGCTCCTTGAAATCATGGATAAATCGCCAAGTTGACACCTGTCACGCATGGTATTTGGTCAGAGATCATTCCAAAGGTCCTAGAAAACGGAAATAGCGGGCAATCCTGATCAGCACCGTCAGTCTCCTTCAACGAAATCTCTTAATACCTGAAAAGACAAAAACAAAACCACACAGCAGAAAAAGATTCTCAATAAAATTTCCATAACTTTAATAAATTGGCTATACCTAACCCATGAAAAACAATGTATACGTAAATTAAACAAACAAAAGGAGAAAGAGTAATACTTAACACCTAGCTCAAGGGTTGAGGTGGGAGGGTATTTCATAATACAGAAAAATAAATCGGATACTTTCATCACCCACCTTTCACTTTCATTGATGCATAGAAAAGGGGAGATAACCCGTAAACCTAGTAACTACGTACTGACACTGCATGGATGGATAAATAAATTCCGGCTTATCTCATTTATTAATTTTTCACAAAAAGGAGGTGAATGATGACATATAATCAAAGGATATATAGAGCTTAGATAACGACGCATATTATGAGATGAACTCAAATATGCGGTATTATCAAAGACCTATATATAATAAACAAATGCTAAGTATTTAAGTTTAATGTTTTATTCGAGTTGGCAGGTATTGTCCACAGTGGTCTACACAACAGTGGGGCAGCCGGCAAAATGGCATACCCCCAACATCAACATAAGTTGTGCCCTCCCTGACGGGAAAAGTAGCACGCTGGGTTGACCTCATTCGTGCTACGGACACATTTCAACACAAATTGTCTTTTAATTATATTATTTTGCTTTAGATTTACATTATATAAGATATAATTTTCAAAGTCAACATCACATATATCAACATCAATCATCACTTATATCAACATCAACCCCAAAAAGTCAACAAAATCAACAGTTCAATGGTTAAATTGAAGGTGACGATTTCGCCACATGGGCACCGTAGGTGCCCACCGCCACCTGGTGGGGGTAGGCAACTTCAATTTAATCACCCACCATGGACTCCTAGCCTACTCAAAACCCTCAGCAACCCATCCGTCGTGAACATCACTCTCTCTCATATCCAACCCACTGTAGATTTATGCTGCATTAAAATAAATCTGGTTACCCTTCAAATTTACCGTGCCTTACCCCCCCCCCCCCCTTTTCCCTGATTTTATATCTTTCGAAGTTGTATTGCTTTGGGTCTCTATTTCTATTATTAATATCCAGCTATTTTACTCAGTCAGAAAGAAAGAACTAACTGGACTAATGTAAGAATATAAAGTGAAAATATGTCTTAACTAGATTTATCCCTCCTTTTTTATTTATTGGTTTATTCATTTGAATTTTATTTCTTATTCATTTTTAGGTAATTTGAAAGAAAAATTTGTAATATACTTTCCTGCAAAGATTACAAACAAGATGAATGAGATGAGCACCTATACTCTCTACCCCCCCCCCCCCCCCCCCCCTTAAGGATGATTAAGTTGTTCCTGTATTGTAGAATAATTTTAAGTGTTCATATTCCAACTCTGTCAAGTGCAGAACATATTTTGTGATATTTTGTAACGTATCTTGCCAGTTCTGTAGAAATGAGCTTATCTAAGTACTACTTTATTTTTTAATCCAAGCTCTTCCGAAGACCATGTAAAATTGATTAAATCTTGTATATACTATTTACCTTTGAAGCCAAGAAACACAATAGGGTACATGTACTTTGTATTTACCCCTAAGCATTTGTTAATGTGGATGGACTGCACCAGACATGTAAGGCACATATGACTAAAACCTTCATTCTAAATCCCTTTCCAGCTAATACTCTATCAAATAGGCATGATCGTACTACACCTTAAGCTTCCTACGTTGGGAATTTTGGGGAGGGACCCCTCCCCCTTTCCTCCTGCAAAAATATGCTGTGGAATGGGTTATTAAAATTATAAACTTCAAAATTATTTTTAAGGCTGTAAAAAATAGCTTTATGATAGAGAGCATGAAAATTAATATGCTAAATTAGTGTAAACCTATCCTTTCTATAATACCCTAAAATGCTGTCGAAGTTTATTTAATCTTAGCACTATGAAAAGTTAACTCCTACTCACTTGTGGATTTGTATTTATATCCCCTAGCTAACCTATATTTTACTCCAGCATGCTAGAGGTTCACAACGAGATACTTTTGACTTGGCTCCGAGGTACATAAGGAGCATAGGGCCGTTAACTGGGGCTCTTATACATGTAGGAGTAACCTGTATTTGTACCCATTAGCTGATGCATGGATGTAATTTACATGTACATATGCAATTATGCACCGACTAATGCATCTTGATCCCATACAAGATAAATGTGTAAACAGAAAATAATTCTGCTAACTGCTCACATGAGATGAGGGATAAACACATACCATATTAATACCTGCGAATGGCAACTGGGTTTGAACTGATATTTTCAATGAAGAAATGCCCCTAAAATATGCAAATGTGTAAGCTAACAGTAAGCGCCTACTATAAAAAAGAAAATATTGTAGGAAATGGGTCAGATTATAATCTAGCCTGTGGTATAAAATGTATCTAACACCCCCCCCCCCCCCCATCCCCGAATTTGTATATCTATGCTGTTAGGAAATCTCGCCTTATGCGGTTCTTTCATCTTATTTATTTATTTATTTATTTTTAAATCTTATAACTCCACATGAATAAAGCAAGTTACCTAAACAATTTATCCTTTTTGAGTTTAAAATCTGTGAATATAGAATTTTAACTGAAGCAAGTTTTATCTGTGTGAAAATAGCAAATCCTTTTTTATCTAATAACTTAGAGACACAGCAAAAGCCAACACTGACAAAAATTTAAGCCCTATTTTAAACCTTATACTGGAAGTTTCATTATAAACCCTCTTTATTTTATTTATTTGTTTATTTATTTATTATTTTGACCATTCATACAGCATATGCCATAAGGAAAATACATCTATTAGAAAGACCAGCACTGCGAACCTTATTCAAATGAGTCTGCATTGACTTTAGCACCTAAAGAACTCTGTAATTTGTCCCTCATCCCTTTCTGAAACTGAATTACTTGATTAAAACTGGTAAAAGTTCAGGGACTTGAAGTTGCATTTCCTATTTTGAGGTTCACTTTCCCTGATGAGAAAGATAACTCAAAGGAATAAATGTTAATTTCCTAATAATTTTGACAAGATTAGCCTATCAATTATTATTATTTATTTATAATAGTCTTTTATTTGTAGAATTATATTTAAATACCTAAAGATTTTTCTTGTATAAGTCTTAAAGAACATTGACGGGAAATAAAAGCCCGTGCTGAAATTTATCTCTGTGTGAATTATCGACATTTTTGGAATAGTGTATATAATGAATTGAGTAAAATAAGTTTACCTGATTTTCATGTTAACTTAAGATAGTACAAAACTTTTCATTTACTAAACACAACTATATAAGATACAAGGCCTTTATGCAGTTAAGGGGTGAGAAGGCATTAAATGTATGTGTCTTTATTGTGTTATCATGATATCAACAAACCTGCTCAAATAAGGTACAGGCCCTGTTAGAAAAATTCATAATTATGTTCATATACACTGAAGACGGCTTCCGAATGTTCAAACAGCCTGACCTTCATTTATTTCCTTTATTTATAACTTGAACCAAATCAAAATGTCAACACAGAATATATATGTGAAACAAGCCTTTGACCCCCCTCTTACTTAATCTGAAGACTTATATATACATATATTAACCAGCAAAATAATAGCTAGACTTGCTAGACAATAGATATCTACATGTACTTAATTAAAATAAAATTCGGGAAATCCTGTCTATTTGTGAATTTTGTAAAAATACCATAGAAGATGAATTTCATTTTGTTTTAATTTGTCCCCTATACAAGGACTCTACATGTACTTAATTAAAATAAAATTCGGGAAATCCTATCTATATCAACTAGTGAACCATTGAGGCCCTAAATTACTATGCACATTGTTATTATTCTGGTTGAGTCTGAAGCTGTCCCCCTTTTCAAGCCCCCTAAGAGAAGAGATATCCGAATAGATGAGGATGCTGCTGGTCCTAATATAACTATTAATATGTAGATTTGACAGACAATGTACAATTCAACTTGGGTGCATAGAACCTATGCCCCCAGCTTTAACAGCCTGAATTGTTCATTGCAATGCTTCCGTGCAACTGATTACTCAAAATCTATTTAGTCATCATTCATATTTACTTACCTTGAGTTTTGTCATAGCATGTGTACATGTACAACTGTAAATATGTATAAACAAATACACATCTTATTTCATGTTAAATTCATATACATAAAAATGCATTAATTGTAATATAACAATTAACATTCAAAAGCACCACAATTTGTTCTTTATTTTACTTCAAATTATTTTATTTCACAATTGATTACTGCCTTTGTTGCAATTCTATACCTTCCAAGCCTCTCTTTGGACCATTGTTTAGGTTGAATGGCCTTGATTGAAAATTTATATCCTTTAATTAGAGTTCTGTTCCTATGTGAATCAGGGTAAATAACATTTCTAAAGACATGATACAATAGCTTTATCAAACTTTAATTTATTTTCAATCTGTATGTTTTCTATTTATTCACTGTTTTAAGGAAAAGTTTTTTATGTCACAAAATATTTTGACTGATAAACTGATAAATACAACAAGCCCGAAGTTACAAAATAACCCATCCCCATATTGTAAGAATTATAACTATGCATATTCCCATTTCTAAACCCCCTAAAGATAGGCCAAGGGAACTAAGTATCTAAATATAGGCTACCATGTGTACGGATGTTTGACCAATGACCTTGAATAACACGGACCGAATAAAGTTGAATTTCAAACCTATTTTTAGATTAGCTCATTTTGTTTAAATAATATTTCACTAAGTACGTTTTTCCTCATTCAAAATATACTGATGAAGTTGGTTATTATTACCATACTTGTGTATCTTGTACCATGTGCCAGTGTTTAAAGTATGGACGGGAGGCAAATCCATCTGTTTCAATCCAATGAAATATTTGCCATCGAGCAATATCAATGTTGATAAGATAATCCATGTTAATTCTTTGACAGAAACTTAACTTTAAAAACTGGAAATTATTAAAAAATATTTCATAATACAGAAAAATAAATCGGATACTTTCATCACCCACCTTTCACTTTCATTGATGCATAGAAAAGGGGAGATAACCCGTAAACCTAGTAACTACGTACTGACACTGCATGGATGGATAAATAAATTCCGGCTTATCTCATTTATTAATTTTTCACAAAAAGGAGGTGAATGATGACATATAATCAAAGGATATATAGAGCTTAGATAACGACGCATATTATGAGATGAACTCAAATATGCTGGTAGATTTCCACATTTAGAATGAAGATCACGGACAAAATCTATTACACAAATACACATGTTTTTTCATATATTAATCATTAATAAGATATCATCCTAACTTTATAATTTATGTGGTAGTTACCGTATAAGTTACCCATAGATAAAACAGTGGAAAAAATGGCGACCTACATGTGTATGGTACGTACATGCTCACATACCCTTCACAATTAGTAACTATGCAAGGACTACATTAACATCTAATAGAGGAAATAGTTTCCGAAGGAGGGGGGGGGGGATTCCGTACCGAAATCGTACACTTAGAAAAAAATGGAAGACGGAGAAGCCAGGTTATATTTTCTTTGCTTATATTATAGTTTAATTCTATAATAATATACATGTTTTTTTTCTTCTAGTACCCTGAAAAAAACCCAGAAGGGATCGAGACCCCCACCCAAAAATAAATTAAAACCCTTACAGCAAGATCCGCCATAACTTGCTTCAAATTTGGACCTACAAAGATAATACAATGTAGCATACACATATAACTAAAACTTGTTGACAGGGTAATCCTACCTTAATTATTACATGATTGTATGGCAAACACAATTTGGTCACAGCTAGGATTTTTATTTCCCTAATTTCATGAGTTTCTTCTCATACTGGACCTTTTAATGTAGTAAAGCTTTATAAATATATTACATGTATAGAGTTTAGGTTGTAGTTCCCGATTATATATGATCGCCCGCGTGGGGCACAGGTAAGAGAGGCTGTTCCGAAGTCGCGAGGTAAGGATTGAAATCCTTACGTCCCCGTGGGGATCCGGGTTAGAATAGGTCCTCAGTACCCCTTGCTTGTCGAAAAAGGCGACTAAACGGGGCGGTCCTTCGGATGAGACGGTATAAACCGAGGCCACGTGTCACAGCAGGTCTGGCACGATAAAGATCCCTCCCTGCTCAAAGGCCCTAAGTGCCGAGCAAAGGCCTAAATTTGCAGCCCTTCACCGGCAATGGTGACGTCTCCATATCAGTGAAATATTCTGAAGAGGGACGTTAAACAGTATACAATCAATTAATCAATCTTTACGTTCGAGGTCCAAACCGTCGAATCCCACTGGGGGACGTTGAGACCGATCCTTCGCCAATCGGGTGAGAGCGTATAAAGCGAGGTCCCGTATCGCAGTAGGTACTGGCACGAAAAAGTTCCACAGTGCTCGATCGCCTTGAGTACCGAATAAAGGACAAAATTTGTAGCTTTCCATCGGCGAGTGCTGACGTCTACATATAAGTGAAAATTGTTAAACAACATAAAATCAATCGATCCGATTGTAATGGATGTTTCATCAATATTTTAAGAGAACTTTATACTTCTTTGTCAATTTCTAGATCTGTGTGACTTTGAGATAGCTCCAGAACCATCGTGTTTTCTGACAGAGGCAACAGATGATATTTTCAACTGGATGAGGAAATTGGTAAATAATCATCTGAAGAATGTTGAAATTTCATCATGTTGTAAATTATGAATTTATTAATATAAGGGGAGTCGGATGCAAAATGTTCAACATGTAAACTAGTACCTTATTATGTTGTAATTTTTTAAGTTAAGTTACAAAACAATTTTATCTAAGGGGTGGGGGGAGCCATATATATCAGTTGGAGCTACCAATTGAAATATTCTTTAACAAGCAAAATAAAAAAAAAGAAGTCATCAGACGTTTTGATTAAGGGAACACAAGCATATGGCAGCAGTCTTTTCTATAGTATTACTATGTATTTTCTAAAGTATACTGTATGTTATCTATAGTACACATTTAACTTTATATCGGCAAGATTATTGAGGACACGGAGCCCAGTGCCGCTCCCTCGCTTCCCACGGTCATGTGTACACAAAACCTAAGGGTTTAAATACAGTGGACCTTCAGATATCATGGCGCTTCAGTATTCGGACGATTTTTCGTCGGAACGGAATTTGTATGCGCCCGTATCGATAGATCCGGGACGTATATTTTTTTTTGTCCCGTCCGACTGTTTGTCTGTCTGTCTGCAAACTTTATCCTTCGCCATAACTTTTTAACCATGAAAGGTAGAGACTTCATATTTGGTATGCATACACTGTATTCCACTAATAAAGCTCTTTCAAATGTCACCAAGGTCAATGACTTTGTGACCTTGACTGTGACCTATATGCTAAAAATAGTTTTTTGAACCTTCACCATAACTTTTAACTTCTAACATGAGAGATAGAGACTTCATATTTGGTATGCGTATATTTGGTATGCGTATTTAACAAATCGATTTCTTTCAAATGATACCAAGGTCAATGACCATGACCTTCAAAGTGACCTATATGCTAAAAATAGTTTCTTTGAAATTTGTTTGCCGCCGGGCGCATAGTGTTTCACAAACACATCTTGTTTAATGTTATTTTGTCTTATTTAACTGGTAATTTAGGTATCCAGACGCTTCACATATCGGGATAAATTGACTAGGAACAAAGCGTCCGCATAAATGAAACTCCACTGAATACTTTCGGTGCGCCTTGTTAGTACATATACATGTATACGATTATAGTTGATATTTGTCCTCCAATTTACAGGGACCGACTGGTTCTGTTAACACCGGTCCTGATGGCGCTAAAGCCGGTACCTACTACAAGTACATAGAAACATCGTCACCTCGAGTCACCGGAGACTACGCCAAACTGGTCAGCAATAGAGTGTTTGAAGGTACATGGCATGTATGTTTTGATCGAGACACATATGCAATAGAGCACAAGCATAAAATAATATTAGTCTTTATTCTTTATGTTCCCGTAATCGAAAATTCGGTGATATATAGGTTTTGTCCGTCTGTCTGTTTGCATGTTTATATGTTCGTCTGCAAAAACGTTAACTTTGTCCATAACATAATGGATGGATCATATATTCCACAGGTGTATTCCTTGTGACAAGACCTCTCTTTGGGTGCCATGCAATTTGACCTCGTGACCTAAACTTTGGAATTTGAGCCCCTCTTTTACCAAAACTATCTTTTAAACATTATCCATAGCCATAACGCTTCGTAATCGGGAGGCCCGGGTTCGATTCTCGGCGCCGCGTCAAACGTAAGACGTAAACAAGGTAGAGACTGTTCCTTCGCTAAGCGCTCGGCATTAGAGGTGAAAGTCATGGGTCTTTCGTATATGACCTTAAATCATACACAACGTAGTTTGAACATTATTGGGTTCTTCCCTGGAGTTGAAGAGTTCCACTAAATGAAGGACCAGTGTGCCATACTTTAAGGTAGTACAAAACACCCTTGGATTCTATTTTTACTAATTTCTTAAAAAATACTGGAGAAAAAAAAGAATAATATTACTACATTGACAACAATGAATGACCCCTGTAAGAAAAATAACAAGTTTTGTCATGATTGCGTCATATTTTGTGAAAAAATCAGAGAATCCTATATGTTGGTCACTTGGGACTTTACATTTTGGAATGTGTTTACGCTATCTAAGTGCAATAAACAAGCATGTAACAGTCTGATATAAAATGCAGTGTAACTTTTGTTCAATAAAAAGTAGAGGGCTTATATTTGGACACAGATATAAGGTGTCTCTGTTCTTTGTGTACTCTAAAGGTCAAGGTCATATCAAGAGGTCAAAGGTCAAATATTGTGACGTCATCTACTGAATCTTGTATTTTTTTTTGCCATTTGAATTTTTTTAATCGCCAAAACATCAGAAACCACCGGTTCAATTTTCTTTATTTTTACATATTTTTTTCTGGGACCCATTTTAACCATTCTGTTAATTTTTTGCAAAAATTGAATTATACATTTTTTCTTTGGAAAACTTTAAGTGTAGGATATTTACATGTGCATTTTCAATTCCGACGCTATGTATGTTCTATTTTTACTTAACATTTTTCTCAAATCGTCCAGTATCAATATGACTTACTAAGTTAAAGTAACAAAAAGGTTATATTGATCAAAATTATAACACAAACTTGCAATAGATCAATTAATGATTCTAAAATAAGGCTCATTGTCAAGTCCTACAGGGGTCTGATAGGCCATATTTCAGACAATGTGGGCAAAATATGTGCGGATGAATTTCTTTCATATTATGTATTAAGAGAGATTTAGTGTCCTAGAACAAAATATCAAAGTTTCAGAAAAATTGAATTTGAGGAAAAATTTGGCCTATCTATTGTGTCCTACCTTAAATGTCTATATATGGATTTATACACCTCTTCTAAAACCAATTTGATGGGGAAAAAATCTGGAATTTATGTTTTGTAATTTTTAGCTCTACTGGTCAGAGACCAGAAGAGCTTATAAATGCGATAGTAATGCGTCCGGCGTCCGTCCGTCCGTCTGTCTGTCTGTCTGTAAACAATTTTTCAAAATGCTACTCCTCCTACAGTTTTGGTCTAATTTCAGTATAACTTGGCACACAAGTAGACTACACTAAGACACATAATTCTGTATATCGGTTTTTTGATTTCGATGAACGGTGTTGCCCTGGTTACTAAAAATAGAAATTTCTGTGAAATTCTTTCAAAATGCTACTCCTCCTACAGTTTTGGTCTAATTTCAATATAACTTGGCACACAAGTAGACTACACTAAGATACATAATTCTATGTATCGGTTTTTGATTTCGATGAACAGTGTTGCCATGCTTACTAAAAATAGAAATTTCTGTGAAATTCTTTCAAAATGCTACTTCTCCTACAGTTTGGACTGATTTCAATATAACTTGGCACACAAGTAGACTACACTAAGATACATAATTCTGTATATCGGTTTTTGATTTCGATAAACGGTGTTGCCGTGGTTACTAAGAATAGAAATTTCCGTGAAATTCTTTCAAAATGCTACTCCTCCTACAGTTTTGGACTGATTTCAATATAACTTGGCACACAAATACTTAATAGACTTAACTAAGATACACAATTCTGTGTATCGGTTTTTGATTTCGATGAACAGTGTTGCCGTGGTTGCTAAAAATAGAAATTTCTGTGAAATTCTTTTAAAATGCTACGTCTCCTACAGTTTTGGACTGATTTCAATGTAGGTTTGCACACAAGTAGACTACACTAAGATACACAATTCTGTGTATCAGTTTTAGACTTCGATGAATATCATTGCCTTTGGTTACTAAAAATAGAAATTTCTGTTTAATACTTTCAAAATACCACTCAAATACGGTTTTAGTCTGATTATAATATAATGTAGCATGCAAGTAGACTACACTAAGAACATAGAAAGACTTAATCAAGGATCATTATTCTATTTTTTGCTGTTATAAAGTTTCAATTCCCAACTGCTTAAGTATTTTTCGGCTAATTGTATTCGGCGCGTCGGCGCACCAGCGCGTCAATCTCGTCCCAATATCACAAAAGTATTTTCTCCCTGTATTAAAACACTCAGATGACCTGGATTTTCTTTATTTAAGCATTATCGCTTATACTCAAGTCGACAGCCCGAACCCGATTGTATTTTTTTGTTAGGTGGATCCATAAATATTTACCTACTTTCGATTTCTCTCTCTCTCTCTCTCTCTATATATATATATCTCCAAACATTAATAGCATTTAAAAAATATTTAGTGCTTTGGTTTTTATAAATTTTCTTTATGTAAGACAAAAGTTTACTGGTGTTACAGAAAGACCCTAGACTGTTGAGTTTAACCTCCTTTTAAGAGACTTAATTATTAGGACAATAAGCTGCAATACATTGGTATCTATGTTTGACAAAGATTCCTTGTTACATATTATAGATAATTCTATTACTAAAATTACCGTCTTTATTTGAAGAAGGGGGGGGGGGGCTTTAGTTACAGCTGGGCATATGGGCCTACATGATCTACTTAGTATTTGTCTTCCTATTTTGAAATATTTATAACTACAGTATTATTTATGGTAGGGCAACAAATTAGGTAGGGCAAGTGAATTTTTACTATATGTACTTGCCCTTGGAAAAGTGCCTTAGAGATCTATTTGTCCTCTCCTGTATTGTAGTCTTCTCAACCACTCATCTCTGTCATTAAAATTCCCAATATCAAAATACATGTACATTGGGTTCCATCAACATTCCTTTAACATTAATTTTTGTGTTTTGCAGAGTGAAAATTAAAGTAGAATTAGATGTTCGTTAAAGTAAGAAGCATATCAAAAGTTTTATGATGATCTAAATACTGAATCATTTGCTGATAGCACAAAAATTGATGCCAATGAAAATTGATAAAACCAGTGTATTATTAATTACAGACCAAGAATAAAAAAAAAACCCACAAGCATTTAAACTTTCTCTTTTATTTATGATAAACCAAACATTGCCAAAAAAGAAAAAAAGCACAAAAATCTTATCCAAACAAAGAGAACAAAAAATACAAACATAACTTTGTTTTGAGCAACATAAAGTTTACATCAGATTGACTAGATTCTTAGTTCATAGTAACCATTCCCAAAGACAGTCTTGTCACAAGAAATAAAACTGCAAGAGTAAAAAATATCAATCTTGTGTCCTTCTGAATTAGTAATAAAACAAGAATTCTATAACAAAGAAAAGCATTTTCAATTAAAAGTAAATCAGAACGTTATATACAGAACAAAATTTTTAGTTGATTACAGTGCCTTACAAATCCATGTTAAAATGAGACTGGAGCATTTTTATGTGGCATGGCTTCAGTTTAGATCTAACATTTTCAGGAATCTTTATTTTATCAATTGTGAAATGGGGATGTCGCTTTAGAATGCACTCTGGCGCACAGTGATAGAATGTGGCTCTCTTTTTTTGAGCTGTGTACACCCATTCAGTTTCACCTTGGTTTTTCTGCGGATATAGGTATCGCTCTGGATGCTGCATTACAAGATCAAATGGTTGAACTACTACAGATTTTGGAAAATCTACACCACATGCAGCACATCTTTTGGCTCTTTTTTCATCTTTTAGGAAATTTACTTCAAATTCATCCTCATTGTGGAAAGGTTCAGTGAAAAGTGGCACTGATGATGTAATCACAGGTCTGGTATGGGGATCATTTTTTCCCTTTCTGGACCCTTTTTTCCCAGATTTCTTGGTATGTTTCTCAAGCAGGGCATCAAGAGACACTTTTTCAGAACACTTTTTAATTTCTTGTATATACTTTTGCAAAGATCCCCGGAATTCACTTGCTGCAATAGTGTGTTCACAGAATACTCCAAACTTATCAAAGTTCTGACATTTGTGACTCCCAGTGCAAGTACATGTAAACCAATCCATTTCTTCATTTCCCTCTACAATGTACACATTTTCACTACAGTCTATACATGTTTTGTTTGATGAAAGTTTAGTGAATATGGACTTGTCTCCTGCAAGAAGACCTGCTTTTCTCCAGACATCTCTTAGTTCATGAGCTTTGTAGATCGTACCAGTCAGGGAATTGTATGTTTCGGAAAGGACTGAAGGTATATGGTGAGTTGGCAATTCAGTAACTTCTGCATTATACCTGAATACTTTGGCAAGCTTGTCCTGTTTTTGGTCTTTGTTTAACTGAGACCAGTTAAGTGTTGATACGGAGAGATGATTATAATCCTTATGCAGCCTATATTCCCCAACATTGAACACTCCTTTCTCCAATTCTTGATACTGAGTGTGGATAATGTTTTGCAGAGACACCGCCATGTTCTCCCAGGACTGTTTTTTATAGTCAACTTCACGCTTCAGCACACTATTAATTGCCTCGTTGTTGTTGTTTGTATATCTTATAGGAGGAAATCCTAGCCCTGCTGCTGTTCTGATTGGTTTTAAAAGGTTTCTTTTACACTCTTCGGCTTTGAATTTCTTGAACCAAGTAAAAAACTCAGGGGGTTTTCTTCCAGTTTCGGTAACTTCAATTGCATCCCACTTCCTGCCCAAATTGATGAGGGATGAATCAAAATCAGCCTCTGTTTCACAGTCAATGAGCCCTCCAATGCGTTTGTTCCCATGCTGCTGTCCATATATCTCATTCAAAAATAAATTTATGTGAGGTTCTTTAAAGTTTAATGACTTAAGCTTTCTTTCACAGTTTTCTCGGGCATGTATCTCACAAATTAGATGGATTCCTTGAAAAGCGTTACTTTTTTGAAGGCCATTTATGAGGGCTTTTTCTCCATCTGATCCCCATACATTTACAACGTCATCTTTAATATATCCAGAGAGTGTTTTGCCGAAGTATTCATAGTCACTGGTTTCTCGTTTAAGATGCATCATACATGGACCGAGTAAAAGAGGGTGTCTGCCACTATCTCTGATGACAAACATAGGGTGTCTGTAAGTGGTACATGTAAGGTAAAATCCTCCAAGATCAAATGTTTGATCTATGCCTAAAATGGAATCTGAACTGCAGCAAAATTTTTTCACACCAAGGAGTTGCTGATCTGTTGCAAGGAAGCACCTGGCATGACCATTTTCTTTCATTTCAAAACTTCGAGCAAAATTGCCCTCAACAGACATCTTGATAATGGCATCAAAATTAGTAGTACATTTTCCACCAGTCTGGTATTTTCTAGGGTTGCTTCTGTTAATGTTGTAAATTTGAGTTCTGTCTCTAGGTATATCTGATGGTGATTTGAAGTTCAACGATCCTCCTTTCTCATTGAACACATCTGCAACAACTTTCTTGGGCTGCATATAAACAGATTTGTTCTTCATTTCTGCAATTGCACTTGGTTTTGTTCTAATGAAAGGATTTTCTTTCTTAGAATTTCCATGTGGAACATTTTTTAAGACAGGAACAACTTTTCCATCTTGGAAATAATACTGTATAATTGCATGTCTGAGGTTGTGTACTTCTGAGTTTCTTATAGTGTAGACAATTTTGTGGAAATCTGGAGTCCCAGCATGGACATAGTAGCTTTTCCTGAGCTGAAAATCATATGATTGAGTAATTTGTCTGCTGGACTTATAACCTCGTTCTGTCTTTGTAAGATACAAATTTGATCCTGATGGCCTTTTCCAGAGCCCATTGTCATCCACAGTCAGATCTGAAAATTTTCTCAGTTTATCAGTATCAACTGATCAAAAGAAAGTGGCATTCTCTTCACACTGTAAAGGAACAGTTGGACATACATATTGAGTATAGTTGTCTACTTTCATCAGAACATCGATGATTTCTGCAGCTCCATATCCACCAATTTTTCTTGAGAAAATTGGAAAGTCTTTAAAGAATTCTGTTACATTTTCTTCTTCATCAGATGACAAAGGCCCATATATATCAGAAATCTCTCCAACAGTTTGCTCTTTATCATATTCATCAAGACTAATGGTCTCAACTTCAGTTTCTGCTGTTTCCTCTGAAAACTCTCTGACATCACCCTCTTCATCCAGACAAATGATCCTTTTTGCACTCCCAACAAATTCTCCTCCTGTTTTTTCTTTCCATTTTTTTTCGTTAGGACTCTCTTTCACTCCTGTTTTCTTTAACTTGCGTTTTACCAGTTTAGGTAGGTCATCCCTTGAAAAAAATATAAATGATGTAAAAAAAAATTGAAAAATACATTATACAACTGCAAGTATTGAAAAAAGGAATGAAATTCTTCAACATTTCATTATTATTTTAGAAATTAAGGTAGCTAGTAAAACAAATGTCCAATGAGCCACATCACTCACCTGAGCAACAAAAGAAATACTCAAATAGGTTTTATGGAGTCGTATACAAAATATGTACACAATGTAGTAAAGGCAGTCTTCTTAAAATTAGACGCAGATCCATTTGCACACTAGCTACACTAACATCTAACAACATCCCATTGTGGGTCACGTCAGGGGTCAAATTCTATCAACCAATCAAATTGTTGCCTGCAAAATCATTTTTATATTTACTGAAGCTAATAAGTCTATAGATTTTCAGAATTTGACCTCTGACGTGACCCTCTATGGGATGTTAAATGTTAGTGTAGAGAGTATGAGGGAGGATTTCACATCTAAGTCTAATTAGATTTTGGTAAATGAATCCTTAAAAAGATTTTCAATATTTTTATGAAGATATTTTTATGTTATATATTGAGCCTATTTTGTATTTGGATGATATCACAGTCATATAACATTTTGAGGTATTAAGCATTGCAGTTCTGAAGAAGATCTTGTAAAATTGTTTATCTACCACAGTATATAACCTTTGAACCCCTTGTTCAGCCCCAAACAATTTTACAGAGACTATAAACTAAACAATAAGCCTAAGAAATCAACAATTAGTCTAGATGCTTGCATATAAGTTATACCATCTATCATTACATTTGAAATTTTTAAATGTTAATTTGGACGCCAAATGGAGCCCAACCCTACCTGCCCTTGAAGATGTATATTTTGACAAACTTGAATCTATCCTACTTGAGAATTCTTTCACATAATCTACAGCTATTCTGATCAATTTTTCTTTTGAAGAAGAAGATAACATCGCTCTGATGTGAATACATGTCTAGTATGAATAAACGAGATAAGTTTATAAAGAAATATTGTTCAAACTATGATTATTTTCACTTGAGTAAAACAGTTGACAGACACACAGATAAACAGGAATTGACATCAGATTTGCACAGAAATAATCCTACCATATGGCATGCCAAACAAAGCCTATGATGAAATTTCAAGCACCTGTGAAGAGTAGTTGCTGAGAAAACTCAATGAAAATTTGTACACACAAAAATTGACAGACAGACAGATGTACGCCAGAAAAAAAATGATCAGAGAGAAAAGCTCACTTAAGTTTTCAGTTCAGATGACCTAAAATGCTGATTATGATAAAATTCTGACTATTTACAAATATATATGATTCACAAACTTGGCTATATTAAAGATGCTTAGAGTTTAACTCGTAGCATTGGAATAATTAAAAAAAAAAATATATATATGAAATTACTCTTCTGCATCATAAGCTGGGTCTGGTAGGTCTAGACTGTCAGGACTGGATGCTACATTTTCTTTCCTGGAAACATCTGCATTCTGAAATATGATCATTATAATTACTTACATGTATACATGTTCCATAAATACATGTCTACTTAATATCATTTACTCTTATTATTGTGGTAATAATCATAAACAGATTTATATACAATTGAGAAGTTTTAAGTAGGCAAATCTAAAAACTTACAAAAAGGGTAGCATGGCTACTCTCCTCTGAATCGCTGTCGTCACACTGAAATATTAAATAGCATGTTATATAATACAAATAAAGAATACCAAGTTTTAAGTCAAGGTAATATTTAGGACTTGCATTGATTACATATTATTTGTTCATAATACTCCAGTCTTTCTCTACTGAAATAATTATAATGATAATTTAATCAATTTTTTTCCAACTTTTTTTTCATAATCCTCAGATTCAACATTAAAAGTGTCATTTAGATAGTAGTAGGATGAATAAACAAAATTTTCAAAATATGTACTTTTTTATCAATGGCAAGTTTGATGATTATTTCTTATAAAATTAATTGAATGGATTTCAGTAATTTCATCATTAATCTTATCACTTAATTCCATAAATCTGAGAATTTTTCTATGTAAATGAATTATTTCAATTAAAATTTGGATAAAATGTGACATAAGTGTCAATATTTTGGACTACTCTCCAGAAAACAAAAACAATAATTTATAAACTTGAACAAGAAAAAGGAACAAGAAATAATATAAACATATCAAATACAACAATACTTACCAAATCTATCCTAAAATAATATGTAATTCATTTAGTTTTCTTACTAGCATATTATATATGCATGTTCTTTTTATATACCAGTATACCATTTTGGTCATTGCATTGTATCTTTTCTCAGGTTAGTAAGACACAAGGTGAGAACCTTGTACATACTGTATGCTGCATAAAAGTTAGCTGCAGATCTGTAGCGTTATGGTTTATATATTTGTCTTTGACCATAACAGAACCTGTAATGCAAAAAGGTGCAATTAACAGAGCAATATTTTTTGAGCACTTTTGGGGAGAATTTCTCCACTTTCTAGCACTGGTCAATCAACTACCTTTTACTTCCTAATTATAGACACATTCTGTATCCAATATGTATATTTTATTCACCTTCCAATCAATTATAGTTGTCTCTACAGGCAATAAACTTGCTTAAAGTGGATTTTCAGCAATCTAACAAATCATTTTAATCAAGTGAGGTTATCACTTGTAGAGACGACTATACAGGTTAAGTAGATGGATAAAATATACAGATTAATAGTTCAATAATGTGCCTAGAATTAGAGAGTAAAAAGCAGTTAATTGACTAATGCTGGAAAGTTGAGAAATTCTCCCCAAAACTGCGCAAAAATATTACGCCGTAAATTGCACCTTACTAGCATTACGGAATCTGTAGCGTTTTGGTCAAAGACAATTTTAGTCAAATATATAAATCCATAACGCTACAGATCTGCATCTACTTCAAGTATGTTTGAAAAGGACAAACGTCAGGCCAAACTTCTTTCAAAACTCTTATCAGGTATAACTAACAGCTTTGAAGTTACATGTTTAATAAAATTCTGCACGTGGTGTCGAGGAATTAAATTCTAGTTAAAACGTAATGAAGCTGAAGTATTGAACATCACTAAATATTTCTCATCAGACTTCCCATTGTTCATAAGAACAATTTTATAATTTATTATAATTTTATATAGATGAACCTAGTAAACTATAATTCGAACCTACGATACATACAAGGATACAAAAACAAAACTTACCACGAGGCGGCTCCTTCAGCCATTTTTCAAGAGGAATAGTGCGTTGAATGTCGAGCCCGATGTCAATAAAGTAGAATAAGCGATAAATTTTATTATTAACAAAATATGTTGCGCGAGCGCGCCGACGCGCCGAATACAATTAGCCTATTTTTCTCTTCCTTTGCTATAGGTACAAACCAGTAGAGCTTCAGTCTCGACAGAGACTTCTGGTTGTATATTTTTCTTTGAATAATGCGAAAAATGTCATAATTTGATATCTTCCAAAAAACCCTGGTAATGCATGCTGAATTTTCGTCTATGAACATCTGATGGCACTATAATCTTAAATTAAGAATATCTTGAAAAGTTATCAGTAGGTAAGGTACGTTGCCTATGTCCTTAAAACGTAGGTCCCGCGTCGCTGTAGGCGTTGGCACGATAGAGAACCCTCACCATGCATGGACTTCCGAGATGTAAACAGTTTTTCAAAATGCTACTCCTCCTGCAGTTTTGGTCTGATTTCAATATAACTTGGCACACAAGTAGAATACACTAAGATACATAATTCTGTGTATCGGTTTTTTGAATTCGATGACGGTATTACTGTGGTTACTAAAAATAGAAATTTCTGTGAAATACTTTTAAAATGCTACTCTTCCTACATTGTTGGTCTGATTTCAGTATAACTTGGCACACAAGTTGACTACACTAAGATATATAATTCTATGTATAGCTTTTTTTAAGCCGGGCTTATTGCTCAAAGAGCAATTGCCGGCTTATGTCATCCTGTTCAAAACAGGAATAACCCATACGAAAATGTGTAGTTAACCGTCAACTAGTCGTCAAATGATAATGCGAAAACAGTTGACCACTTGGAGTTGAATTCTTTTCTGAAAAGCGCTCAACTGATCTGCATAAAACGGCCAGTTGACCATTAATTGAATTCTTATACTTTGAAATTTCATGCAAAACAAGAGTTGACCAATAGTTGAACACTCAGACTTGTTAGAAAATTTCTTCCACGTTACATTTATGTTGGGTTCAAAATTACTTTAACTTAGATCGGGTTTGTTATACCATAATTACAACAACCAAGATTTGAATCAGTACATGTGAGTTTTCTGTAGAAGATGGGAATTTTGTTTTGAAACACTATTGTCTTTGTAATGATTCAGCGTGTGAAATATCCCATATGCTATTGTAAGTATACAGCTCAACAAACTTTTTAAACTCACATGGGTTTTCGCACAAAATAAAGTCACATTTTTCTTGCAATAAAGCTTAGGATTATCGAGTTTCAGTAGGAGACATAACCCTTATAGTATTAAACTGTTTCATGTTAAAGGTGCACATTCTCAAAAATAATTATCTTTTGTTTTAAAAGTCAATGTTCTAAAAAGAAATTTGTTTAGAAATTGTATGGTGTTAAATGTGTATAATTCTATCATAGGTTTTTACAAATTATTATTATTAATCAATTGACGGTCAGTTGACCGTCAGCTAGTAGTCGACTGAATACTCCGATTGAATTCTAATAGTATTTTTTCATATGGGAAAGCAACGAAATAAATCGAAGTTTTATCTAAATAAATAAACATTAGTAGTAAATGACTTTGAAAACTTCAGTCTTAAGTCAAAGAACATGATAGTTCATTAGCGTAAGAATTTGTGATAATCAGAGTTATCGTAGCTCTCTACACATACGAGGAAAAGCAGGAGAGGGAACCAGACTGGCCTGTTTGTTAACATTCAGCTGCGGTACCAGATTAATTCTGATTCTGACGAAATCGGACCGTGGTATTAGGATCGAAAACTCACTGTCAGTGTCTTATATTTATATTGATAGTTTTAAAATAATTTTTTCATCGGAATTTTTAATCTGATATTCTTGTTATTTATCTGTTAATACAATATAAACGTATGCTTTATGTAAGAAATTCATTCTACTCTGTAAATGAGCCCGGCTCTCTGTACTTTGATTTTATATTTCGATGGAAGGTGTTGCCATGGACACTAAAAATATAATTTCTGTAAAATACATGTAAAATGCTACTCCTCCTAGTATAGACAGTTTTGGTTTAATTTCAGTTCACTTGGCACACAAGTGGACAGTTTTGGTCTGACTTCAATATAAATTGGCACTAAGTAGACTATATTAAGATTCATAATTCTGTATATCGGTTTTTGATTTCGATGAACGGTGTTGCAGTGGTGACTAAAAATAAAAATTTCTGTGCAATACTTTTAAAATGCTACTCCTCCTACAGTTTTGGTCTGATTTCAATATAACTTGGCACACAGGTAGACTGCACTAAGGTACATAATTCTGTTTATTGGTTTTTGATTTCGATGAACGGTGTTGCCGTGGTTACTAAAAATAGAAATTTCTGTGAAATACATTTCAAATGCTACTTCTCATACAGTTTTTGTCCCCCGCTTGAAAAGTGGGGGATATTAATTTGGGTTTGTCCGTCCGTCCGTCCGTCTTCTGTCTGTCTTTAACACTTTCGTTTCCACACGATATCTCTAGAACCAATTGAGCTATTGCAATGAAATTTTACATAGCAACTCCCTATGGACTAAAGAAGACCCCTTTTGATTTTGAGGTCAAAAGTTCAAGGTCGTAAATTTATAAATTTTGTCTGTGTGTAACACTATCATTTCCGGGCGATATTTTAAGAAGATTTTGAGCTTATGCAATGTAATTTTATACCAAAACTCCCTAGGACCTCTCATCCCTCTCAAAGTGCACCGCCCCGTTTATTTTATTAGTATTTATAGTATTAGATGTCGCTATTTTTAGCACAGGGGCATAAGGAGAATTATTGCGTGTTTTTGACCCATCAGTCAGTCAGTCAGTCAGTCCTTTCTTTTATTTTTTGTCAGCGCAACTCCTCATAAACCGCTGCACAGAATTTCGTCAAACTTTGCAGGTATTTAGGACACAATGTGTAGATGTGCATATTACCAGGAAATTCCGATTCCTTTATTTTTTCTTAGAGTTTAATTTTCACACTTTTCAACTTAGATTTTTGGCCATACCTTGAATATAGAGATGAAGATTTTGTCAGCGCAACTTCTCATAAACCGCTGCACAGAATTTCGTCAAACTTTGTAGATATTTAGGACACAGTGTGTAGATGTGCATATTACCAGGAAATTCCGATTCCTTAATTTTTTTCTGGGAATTTTGGCACTTTTCAAATTAGATTTTTGGCCATACCTTTTATATACAGATGAACATTTTGTCAGTGCGACCCCTCATAAACCGCTGCACAGAATTTCGTCAGACTTGGCAGATATTTAGGACACAATGTGTAGATGTGCATATTACCGGGAAATTCCGATTTTTTCATTTTTCCGGGATTTTCAGCACTTTGAGTTTTGGGGGAGCGTGGGGTATGTGAGCTTGCTTTTTCTTTCATTACAACTATTAGAACTGTTTAATAAAGGCTAAATAAATCAAACACAATGGATTGTGTAAAATTTTGACATTACCGAACATGAATATATACATGTACGTGACTTCACTTCTGCAGATACTTGACTCCATGTAAAGCGATTCCGTGGTCTAGTGGTATGTTTCTCGCTTCCCGTGTGAGAGATCCCGAGGTCAATTCTCGGACGGAACACTTTTTTTTTAAAGAAATGCTTTTTTTTTAATAAATAATAGTATTCAGCACGCAAAATGAAAAATTTACTAGTTACGGCTTGTACAAACTCATAAAATCATCATTACAGTGTGATAAATATTCCATATAAAAAGAATCTTCTATACGCATGCATAATGAAGAATAAGCAATTCAATCTTTATATCCATAATGGTATATTTTATTTGCTTCAGTATACATGCAAGTATACATTTAATAATTCTACAAATTTAGTGAAGGGGATCCGACTCTCCCTCCCCCCTCCCCCGAACTGCGCATGTTTTACTTTTCCCTGAAGCGGGGGACACAAATTCTCTGAATTAGCTTGTTTGATCTGATTTCATTATATTGTAACTTGACACACAAGTAGACTACATTAAGATACATAATTCTTTTTAAAGTTTTTTTTAGCTCTACTGGTCAGAGACCAGAAGAGCTTATGCGATAGTAATGCGTCCGGCGTCCGTCCGTCTGTCTGTCTGTCTGTCCGTCTGTCTGTAAACAATTTTTCAAAATGCTACTCCTCCTATGGTCTGATTTCAATATAACTTGGCACACAAGTAGACAACACTAAGATACATAATTCTGTGTTTTGGTTTTTGATTTCGTTGAACGATGTTGCCATTGTTACTAAAAATAAAAATTTCTGTGAAATACTTTTAAAATGCTACTCCTCCTACAGTTTTGGTCTGATTTCAATATAAATTGGCACACAAGTAAACTACACAAAGATACATAATTCTGTGTATCGGTTTTTGATTTCGATGAACGGTGTTGCCGTGGTTACCAAAAATAGAAATTTCTGTGAAATACTTTTAAAATGATATTCCTCCAACAGTTTTGGTCTGATTTCAATATAAGTTCGCACACAAGTAAACTACACTAAGATAATTAATTCTCTGTATCAGTTTTTGAATTCGATGAACGGTGTTGCCGTGGTTACTAAAAATAGAAATTTCTGTGAAATACTTTTAAAATGCTACTCCTCCTACAGTTTTGGTCTGATTTCAATATAACTTGGCACACAAGTAGACTACACTTAAATACATTATTCTGTATATCAGTTTTTGATTCCAATGAAAGGTGTTGCCGTGGTTACTAAAAATAGAAATTTCTGTGAAATACTTTTAAAATGCTACTCCTCCTACAGTTTTGGTCTGATTTCAATATAACTTATCACAGAAGTAGACTACACTTAGATACATAATTCTTTTTATGGGTTTTAGATTTCGATAAACAATGTTGCTTTGGTTACTAAAAATAGAAATTTATGTGAAATACTTTCAAAATGCTACTCCTACAGTTTTAGTATGGTTGTAATATAATTTGGCATGCAAGTAGACTACACTGAGATACATAATCATCAAATTTATGTTTTTGATTTTGATGATTGATGTTGCCATGGTAACTAAAATTGAAAATTCTGTAAAATTTTATTAAAAGCTACTCCTACAGTTGTAGTCTTATTGCAATCTTGCCACAAAAAGTGACTTAATCAAGGATCATTATTCTTTTTATTGCTTTTGTAAAGTTATATTAGTCTCAAATGCTACTTTTCTCTTCCGTTATTAAAAGTACAAACCAGTAGAACTACAGTCTCGACAGAGACTTCTGATTTTTAGCTCTACTGGTCAGAGACCAGAAGAGCTTATGCGATAGTAATGCGTCCGGCGTCCGTCCGTCTGTAAACAATTTTTCAAAACGCTACTCCTCCTACAATTTTAGTCTGATTTCAATATAACTTGGCACACAAGTAGACTACACTAAGATACATAGAAAGTTACTAAAAATAGAATTTTCTGTGAAATTCCTTTAAAATGCTACTCTTCCTACATTGTTGGTCTGATTTCAGTATAACTTGGCACACAAGTAGACTACACTAAGATACATAGAATAGTGCATCGGTTTTAGATTTTGATGAACGGTGTTACCATGGTTACTAAAAATAGAATTTTCTGTGAAATTCCTTTAAAATGTTATTCCTTCTACAGTTTTAGTTTGATTTCAAAATAAGTTGGCACACAAGTAGACTACACAAAGATACATAAAATGTTGCAATGGTTTTTGATAAGTACAAACTAGTAGAGCTACAGTCTCGACAGAGACTTCTGGTTATTTCGATGGACGGTGTTGCCGTGGTTACTATAAATATAATTTCTGTGAAGTACATGTAAAATGCTACTCCTCCTACAGTTTTGGTCTAATTTCAGTTAACTTGGCACACAAGTGGTCTACACTAAGATACATAATTCTGTGTATCAGTTTTAAAATTTCGATGAACGGTGTTGCCATGGTCATAAAAGTAGAAATTTATGTGAAATACTTTCAAACTGCTATACTCCTAATACAATTTTAGTCTGATGATAATATAATTTGGCATGTAAAAAGAGTACACTGAATACATAATTATCATTTTTTTTTATTTTGATGATTGATATTGCCAAGGTAACTTCATTGTAAAATAGAAAATTCTGTAAAATTCTATTAAAAGCTACTTCTACAGTTGTATACTCCTTGCAATCTTGCCACAAAAAGAGATCATGGATCATTATTCTATTTATCGCTTTGTAAAGTTTTAAGTCAAAATGCTACTTTTCTCTTCTGTTATTAGAAATACAATCAAGTATAGCTACAGTCTCGACAGAGACTTCTGGTTTTAAAGGTCAGCAACTTGTTTCTTGATTTTAAAGATCAGATCTTAACAAATTGCTACATAAAATTCCTGAGAAAAATGATTCAGAAGCAATGGAGGAATTTTCCTGCGTTTACTTTTTAGATAAGACATACTGTCTTACCATGTACTACCACATGTACGGATCAACGACCGGAACTCTGAAGATTCAGACTAGGACCGGAAATGACACAGTGACGCATTGGGAACTGACAGGTGATCAGGGAAACCAATGGTACAGCATCGATAAACTCAACCTCCCTCTGAATAACAACACGGAGGTACGGTATTAAGGTCCTACGACATGTTCCTCAAATACGTCTTTTGTATTTCTTGGTATGATATAAAAAACTAGAGCAAAGCTCGTTGCAAAGCAACGAGTAGGTCTTCCGTCCTGTTTGAACGGAAGTAACTTTTATTTTTTTAAAAAAGAGAAATGGCGTCTCTAATGATTGTAATCTTCCAAATCTATGTTGAAAATTGCAAAAGTAAGCCATTTTTTGCTACTTCCTGTTTGACCGGAAGTGACGTCGACAGACGGAAAATTAAGTTTTATGCTTCCAGTGACAAATATTTCCCGAAAACATGTCAAAAACGGAAAAAAATGTGCAGTTTCGGACTACTTCCGGTTTTGGCCGGAAGTGACGTCACAGGACGTATTTTGATGATATCAGTAGATTCTACAAGAGATTTTCAACAACTTTGCTTCTTTGATGCATAACAAATTCTTAATACGTTTTGAGATATCTGGAAAAAACTTTTGGCCCCTCTAGATACCTTAATTTAGGGGTCAGCCCTTTTTCCGAGATATATTTTAAAAGATCTTCTAATTCTGCACAAAATTATGTTCTATATATTTTAACAAAATATTTTTAGTTTAGAAGATAAAAAGCAAAATATGAGTAATTCTTGGCTCTTTTAAGCGTTCTAATTTTTGACCCCTATATAGCGCCATTTTGAATGGAGAAATCGAAAAACAAAACCGATGTGCACAACTTCAATCCTTCTATTACCTAAAATCAGTAAAATTTTGACTCCAGCTTTAGCCGTCTCTGAGCCTTTTGTCTTGAAACGAAAGCCTATAAATTTTCGTTTAAAGGGAAATAATTCAAAACTGGAAGCGACTTTTTTAAATTTTAGACAGCATTCTGATAGAGTTTAGTAACTTCTAGTTCCTCTGAAAATTTGAGCAAAATCAATTGAGAAATGAGTGAGTTACTAGTATAAGGCTTCAAAGTTGGCGTCTAGGAAGTAGAAGAAAAAAAAAAGAATAATCTTTACCAACAGACCTTAATTATGCAGATTTGTCATTGTCGTTTGATTTCTACATTGTTTTCAAAATGTTTTTAAATTTAAGTACATCGAAAATTGTGATATAGGCCATTCAGATGATTACCCATATGGAATATGTAAAAAATAGCACTGTATGGTGTCTTGTCCAAATGCCTGGTGAGGTACTCTAATTTTTTGTGAGGAAACTTGTTTAAGTACCTAGACTTTAATGACAAATTCTTGGGAAAAGTTATATATTTTTTAGGAACGTGTAGTCTGACCTTAAATTGTGTCCTCAAGATGAATAAATAATTTTGACCAGTATTTAAAATCAATCCACGCAGAATTTTATACAATTTAACACATGGAATAGACAAGTATTTATGAGATTGATCATGCATTTGTCGTTATTTCACTTTCCATTCTTTAATCGCAGTGTAATGTATACCAATAGGAACATTTAGGCTATAGCGTAATTGACCTTTTTACACGAATATTAGTAATTATGTTCTTTTCGTTTGAAAGATGAAATATCATACGCCAAAGACCACCTTTTAGGGTTTTTTTCAAAACTTTTTACTATAGAATTGAAAAGACATTACAATATACATGTACAGTCAGAAATATTCAGTTTTTGTCTACTTTTGAGCACTGTCGTGTTTTTTTTTTGTTTTTTTTTAGATAATCATCGATGCCTCCAGGGGAAGTAATTACTACAGCGACATCTCTGTTGACTATATAGTGTTGTGGCCCTTTGCTTGTCTCTGAGGACGTCACACAAATGATCAGCGTATATACAAGAATGGCCATACCTCATGATAAATTTTCTATGCCTAGTTTTTTTTTTCAAGAAGAAAAAAGTCAATGACAATGAATTTGATTTCTCTCAGAAAAAGTGCTGTATATGTACATTATTGTTGTCCTTAGCTGTAAAGCATAAAACATACTTGTTCTAAGCAATTTTTTTGTGCATCAAAAGAGGAAGTGCCAGTAGCAAATCTAAAAAAAAACTTGCGTTATGTTTATTAAGGAAATATCATTATGCCCAAGATATTAAGGAGTCACTGTTTGGTTAGTTGGATATTCCAGGGCATCAACGATAGTTGGAAACGTTGCATAAATTATCCACGTTTCCAACTATAGTTGATGTCGATGGCATACCCCCAAAAAACTAAATAATGATTCATTACATTTTCTTTTCATTGTGAAATAAAATTCTAAATTAAGTTAGAAAAATATTAATAAATAGTTTTAAATAACACAAGGCATCCTATGTCTACTTCAATAGTCCCTACCACTGACGTTTACTAGAGAACAAAAAAAAAAAAAAAAAAAAAAAAACAGTCGCACGAGATTAAATATTCGTATTAGGCCTTTTTTAGCTCCTGATCTTTCAATTGACAAAATTTTCATTCCGGTAGAATTATCAAGATATCAAGTCAATTATCTTTCAAAGAGTTATCACAGAGAAAACGTTGATGTAGCCAAGATTTTACATGTACAAAATCAGTATTTATGGGATTATGACTCTACTTCAGTTATGATGAGATGTAGTGCGTGTTTCGTAGAGTGTCCTTTATTTTTGTAACTTTTGCTTTGTCAACTTCGTTTGAAGTTCATTGTTTAGCTATGAACCCTTATTTTCTGCATATGATGGTTTGTTTCTTGTTGGAGCAAAACACAAAAACATATTTACCTTTGAATAATACTTAAGAAGAAACAAATTATTCATATAGAGAATTTGTCTACATTCTTCCCATTTACATATCGGCCGTATTGGAGCTATGATGATGGCAGATTTCTTAAAGGATTATATAAACATAGGAAATCAAAGATTACGAAGCTCACCTCGACGAATTTTGTCAGTTTAAGTAATGCAAATCTCACATATATTTTTTAATAGTAAGTATTTATTTATGTATTTATGTATTTATGACAATAATATTTGTGCAAGCTATTTTTCAATAGATCTTAAAGTTCATTTGGGATTGATCTGTTCCAAAAACTTTAACCTGGTCAGTCATTTGGAAAAGTAGGTCAGATCCAGCATCCGAAGCAAGTCTCGATTCTCCATCCACAGATGCATCATCCATGCAAGTTTGGTCAACTTAGGGCTTATAGTTGCTTGGGAGTCACTCATCTGAAACATGTTGGTCATATCCAGCATCCGAATCAAGTCTGGCACTGTCCATTCTTAGATGCAACATCCATGCAAGTTTGGCTAGGGTAGGAATAATAGTTACTTGAGAATAACATGGTCAATCTGGAAATTGATTGAAGGTCAGATCCAGCATCCGAAGCAAGTCTGATAGTGTTCATCTCTAGATGCATCATCCATGCGAGTTCGGTTTGGGTGGGGCTTATAGTTACTTGAGAAAAGACCTGCTCCAAAAACTTCAACCTGGTCACTTATTTGGAAAATGTAGGTCAGATCCAGCAACTGAAGCAAACCTGGTAGTGTCCATCCCTAGATGCTTCATCCATGCAAGTTTGGTCCAAGTAGGGCTTATAGTTACTCAGGATTAGACCTGCTCCAAGAACTTTAACCTGGTCACTCAGTTGGAAAATGTAGGTCAGATCCAGCATCTGAAGCAAGTCTGGTAGTGTCCATCCTTAGATGCATCATCCATGTAAGTTTGGTTTGGGTAGGGCTTATATTTACTTGGAAATGGACCTGCTCCAAAAACTTGTAAAAAATGTAGGTCAGATTCAGCATCCGAAGTAAGTCTAGTAGTGTTCATCCCTAGATGCATCAACCATGCAAGGTTGGTTTGGCTTATAGTTACTTGGGAATGGACCTGCTCCTAAAACTTAAACCTGGTCACTTATGTGGAAAATGTAGGTCAGATCCAGCATCCGCAGAAAGTCTGATACTGTACATTCCTAGAGGCATCATCCATGCAACTTTGGTATGGGTAGATTTTATAGTAACTTGGGTATGTACTTGCTCCTAAAATTAACTTGGGACGCCGACACCAACGCCGACACTAACGCCGACGCCAACCCCGGGGGTATAGCATTTAAGCTAATCTCGACTTCGTCGAAGTGAGCTAAAACGCTCAAAAATCGAATATTTTTAGCCGGGCGTTTTGCTTTTTAAAGCAATTGCCGGCTTGTGCCATGCTGTTTATAATTAAGCAGGAAGTCCATCCAATAATTGCTAAATTAAAGTTACATGGAAAAGTAAAGTACCTACTCTCAACTACTTTTGAGATAAAACAATTTCTAAATAAACAGATCAACAGAAATAAAACGAATTTCTTACTGGGTGAATTTTACATTTATATCATATTAAATATTAAGATATCATCTAACCTGTAAAAAGACTTTTTTTCAGAAACACAATTGAAAATGAAAATATACTTTTCACATTTTCTAAGTCAACACTTTTATTATTTCAAAAAAGTTAAAAATCTTAACATCAATTTACTAGCTGCTTACAAATTTGTCCTAATTTACAATGCTAACCTGTCAAGGCAAAAAAAATCGAATGTTTAATTACTCTACCGTGACTGTTTTTCGTTAAAAAGCATGAAGTTTTAGTTCCTTATGTTCTCGGTTGTATTTTTCATATTTTTTATTTCCATGTCTTCTCCGCCTTTAATTGTTAACGAAAAACAGAAACAGGCTTAATTAGAATGCGGTGTATGTCCACAAAACAATGCGCTATTGAAATTGAAATGGGCCAAGCTAGTTAACGAGCGTTTTGTTTCCTTTTAATGTATGTTTTTATTGTACTTAAAACCTTTGTATATGTAGTAACTGTTACCATCCGAAAGATCTACAAAGCGTACCTAAATTCCTTACCATCATTAGAAATCGCTAGATTTTTAACAAACACCACAAAACCGTCCTAGAGTTTATCCGGAAAAATCAATGGAAGCGGAACCGGGTCCTCAATGTCAAACTGGAGGAGTGCGGAATGCATGTAAGGAGACGTTACGAAACTATTGTCGGCTAGGCACAGACAATTTCGGTAAGCTCCCTTTTCATCCACATCTCAGCCCTAACTAGCATGTATGGGAGAAGATAGATATGAGAGTGAGACAGCTTATCCAGCAGCAGAATCTAGTGGAGGTAGAGGTCAATCTTGTCAACACATTGAAATATATTCAATAAATAAATTTTTTTCTTTAATAGTTTAAACTCTTTGAGAAGCGGTTGTCTTGCTGTTATTTCGTTAGAATGGATTGATTGATTGTATACTGTTTAACGTCCCTCTCCAGAATATTTCACTGCTATGGAGACGTCACCATTACCGGTGAAGGGCTGCAAATTTAGGACTATGCTCGGCACTTGCGGCCTTTAAGCAGGGAGGGATCTTTATCGTGCCACACCTGCTGTGACACGGGGCCTCGGTTTGTACGGTCTCATCCGAAGGACCGCCCCATTTAGTCGCTTTTACGACAAGCAAGGGGGTACTGAGGACCTATTCTAACCCGGATGCACCCGTTAGAATGGAGGATAATGCACTGTATTCAACGTTGCGAATTTTTAATTCTAGGGTGCCTTAAAGTTTCTGCATATTGTGATAAAGCGCATCAATAAAATATATTAAGTGAAATAATTGTTTTGCTACTTTTTTATCCTCTATACTCATTAAATTATTATGTCAAAATAATTTATTATAAGAGCGGTGTTAAGCAGAAATTTGCCAGGGGACTTAGCAATTTTGATTATTATATGTATATATCTGTACTTGTATTAATTTTGTATTTACTCCTATATTACTTTTTATATCAACGATGAAGCAATGGAAATAGAAACTTTTCCAGTTGTGAAATAAGATACAGTGGCGGATCCAGAAGTTGGGGGGGGGGGGGGTTGAGGCCCAAAGGGCCGAAGGGGGAGGGCATGGGAGGGTGTGTCCCCCTCCCATAGGGGGGGTTCGGGGGGCCTCCCCCGAGAAAACTTTGTTTTTAATGGTTCTAAATGGTGCATTTTCCAGCATTTTAGGGGTACTTTTTGTAGCTTTTTTAAAGACCGATCATCACAAATTTTTAATAAAATGTTTTCAATTTAATTTAACTTTTACACAAGACTTTAGACTTTGCTTTTAAAAAATGTTAAATCTGACAATTTTAGGAATGCAAGCAGTTGACTTCAAGTTGTCTTAGTTTACTTTAAATGCACCTACAATTAATTTAGTTCTATGTCAAGCTGACTTCCAAGATACAACTAATGTGCAAATTTTTAAACACTAAAAAATTAAAAATTGAATTCTTTTCAGAATCCCTAACTTGTGCTTTTCAACTTGAGTATATACTATCAATATAACACACGTGTACAATTAATGAAATTTCAAACTGTCTTAACTGAAGAAAAAAATTACGTAAACTGGAGAATCTGTCAAAACTATAGAGGGGTTTGCTAAGCCAACCTGGTTTTGTAAAAAAAAAAAAAATATATTAATTTAATTTCAAAACGGTAAAAAAAACCCTGAATAATAGTTTATTCATAGTTTAAAAAACATGCATTTTATCAGCGAAAGAATATTACTGAGCAGCACCGTAACTATGCAGTTTTCTGTTGTTGGTACCTAACTACATTGTACTGTGATCTTGTGACTTCACTAGATGCACAGACTACCCGATACTTGTCTGAGGTACTCTCTCTGTTGATTACCTGTGTATTGTGTGCGTTCAAGCGGAAACTTCAGAGATTTCCTGTTACGTAGTGGATGTATATTTCACAGTTGTACAAACAAAGGGTTTATGTTTATTAGAGTCTTATCAATGCAACAAAATGACAAAATGACACTTGTTAAAAAAAAAAAAATCAATGAGCGGGGGGTGGGTTTCTCGACCCCCCCCCCAACCCCCCTGAATCCGCCCTTGAAATATATAAAAAAAAAATTCGATCCCGCAACAATGTGTTATATTCGTCGAAAACATTGAAGTTAGAGTATTTAACCTCAAGGAATTCACAATTAGAGCTTTTCATATTAGAGAAATGCTTAAATTAAGTATTCCATTTAAGACAAAAATGTGTCCCACAAAACGACATGGTATGCTCTTTTTGATGTACTTAAATCACATTTATTTACTTGAGACATATATTCTTTGATGGATATTTATGAATTATTCTAAAGCATCACTTAATGCTACGTTTACACTATGTTCCCGGCAGCCACGGCAATCACGTTTCAGGCCACCGTGGAAAAAACGGGATAGGCGTGAGAAAACTTGGGGCAACGGGATGGGCAAACGTAACTCATCGCGATTGCCGTGGATGCCGTGCCAGATTTTTAAACTGTCAAAAAATTTGCCACGGCGGCCACGTTGCAGATGTGAAACTTAGTAGGTCGTAGTAAAACGGAATAAACGCAACAAAACGCGACAGCACGTAATAGACCGCAACAGAACTTGGAGGCAGTCCGCAGTGGGACGGGAGAATGTATATTTCCATTCATCTCACGGTCCATTCACGTTTTGAGACGTTTTGCTGAGTTTAGTCCGCGTTCTGTCACGGCTAGTTCACGGTTGTTGTCCGTTTTATCACGTTCTGCCACGTTTCATCACGGTCCTCACGGCAAACTAGGGTGTATGGTAGCCGTTTCCTCGCGTTCAATCGCGGTTCGTCCCGGCATGTTACGGTTTATGGTCCCGGTGCGTTGCGTTCTACTACGGTCTGACACGGCGCACGCGGTCTGAGAGGAAGCATATAAAAGCCGGGCACTGCAGAGAAGTTTTATTATGGATCTATATGGATCTCCGCCTTCTCATCCGTCTTATTCGTCTCATTCCTAGTTGCTGCACTCCTGCCTTCCCTCTCTGTAACTGCTGCTGGTTCTCTTCATTTTGACGAAGTGGTTTTAGGTATGCACCCAGCAAACACGCGAAAATAAAATCTTCGTCTTGGGAATTCATGATGTTTTATCTTCGAAGGGTCATGATACAATGATTGTTTCTGGTTAGGAGACCTTCTCTGGTACAAACGTGATCCATAGTTTCCCGGCGTCCATGTTTCATACGTAGAAAGACTTGACAGAACGTGAGAAACGTATAAGAACTTCATAAGAACGCGAGAAACGAGAGGGGACCTATCAGAACGTAAGAGGCCTGGGGGGAACGTGCTGGCTTACGTGGCAGAACCGTAGTGCGCCGTGGAGCCTCCGGCACTCCACGGCAACTTCTTCCTACGGCCCATCACGGATTCCGTAGAAGACCGTAGAAGACCGCAAAAGAACTTGTCAAGACTTGGATATAGAGGGGAAAATAACCAAAATCTCACGGCGCACTACGTTTCGGGCAAACGGGGCTGCCGTGACGGCCGGGAACATAGTATAAACGTAGCATTACATAAAACCATTAACTACGATTAATTTAATATGTTGACGCTCCGGTTGAAATTCGAATATAATATAACTAATGCTTTTTGTATGCCTGACGAATAAGTGCTAGTTAATTGCTATATTCATTATAGATAAAGATATTTCATATAAGAAGAGTTAGGAGAGAATCAATAAATCTTGAAAACAGCATATGGTCTGCAGAAGCTGGTTTACCAAAGTTCAATGTCAAATGTGTGATACGTACTTTTAAAATGTCTTACGAAAAAAAATTTATCATGGAATACCCTTTATAATTATATGAAATACATGTATTCACTGGTCTCCAAGCTAGAAATAGAATTCTTCGATATTTCACATTGTTTGTATTTTTGAAGCTACTTTATTAACTAGACAATGATTCCTTATATCTTTCATTTTATTTTATTTTTTTTTTTGACATACATGTATTTTGTACTGTCTTCCGTCAAGTAACATCAAGTCCGTCACTGTGAACACCATCGAATAGATTGAGATTAAGCTCCGCCCATTCTCTGACGTAAGCGGTCCAACATCTCATCGTCCAGTCCAACATCTCAGCGGTCCAACATTGTTTTTTATGCCCGCTCAGCAAAACATTAAAAATGTTAGACTTTTTTCGTATATATTTGTATAGGAACAAATTTTAAAGATATAACAATGTCTAGCGTCGAAGCCTCCTGTGTCAATTCCATGAATCCCCGCCCGCTGACGAGGACATCCGCACGAGATTTACCCGGTATATGCATTTTAGGCCTCCTTATCTCATGAACTAGACCGCTTGGTGAAATTTATATTCCGGTAAAATGATCAAAAAATCAACTCCATTAACTTTCAAAGAGTTATCACAGATAAAACAGATAGAAATGGAAATATTCCTGTCAGGAGTAAAATTACATGTACAATTGTAGTAGATACGACATATATGCACTGCCATTCCATGTTCTACCAAATAACGATGGGAACTTTCAAAGTTCAGACGAAGACCTTAAATACCACCCCCTTACACAGCTGGAGTTGTCTGGTAACTAAGGCAACAGATGCAGTAGAGTTGCGAAATTAAATCTAATCTTGATTAAAAAACAGAGGTAACTTCATTTATATTGTGAGATAATGCAACGATTACAGTGTACCAGTTTTTCTTAAAACATTATTATAAAGGGTATTGTGATCTATATTGCATTTAACTTTTTGCTACATAGAACCAATCAGAGAGTATTAAGGCTTTTTGCAATTGTTACATTTAAATGTATCTGAGTAGCTGATAATAGATCCTTTTATGCTTCAATGTATATACTTATACATTCCATTTACTCTATTAGTTCTGCAAATCCACCAGTAAGCATAACAAATGAGAGTTAACATTCAACCCTGTCTAGTACCTATATTACACTCACAATAGTCTGAGCTGAAATATGTGGAGCTTAACGAACATCATTCGAGCTCGAAGACGATTTAACAAATAAAACATTGGAGGAAATAAATTTATATATTTGAATCAAATATACTGACAGATGTTAACCCTGTATACGGGGGTTGAAGGTGTACGAGTAGTGCTGCATAATTAAAGGAATTTGACGATAAAGAAAAATAAATCATCAGTTTGTCATAAAGTTTGGTTGTTAGATTACTTTTAATTTCATGTATGACTTCTTTTAATACATGAAGTTTAATTGGAAAACGTTGACTTTAAAATCAATGAAAGTTTAACTTGTATTGATTTTTTTCTTGAATAGTGTACAGCTGTATAGAATATCTGTAAAAGGTAAAAGATTACGAAAATTAAAGAGATAAAAGAAATATCTACAAACAATGAAAATATGTAAAGAGGGCATAAAACACAGACCCCTGGAAATACAAGCAGAGGGATCAGGTGCCTAGGAGGAGTAGGTATCCCCTGATGACCGGTCACAACAGCCTGAGCCATTGATCAATTGATCAGGTGGATACCGGTAATTCCGTAGTTAACATTCCGTATAAAACACAGGCCTTACAAATATTGATTTTAAAGAAGTCAAAAATATAATAGTTATATGGTATATATGGTTATATATATATAGTCCTGGTTATATCCAGGTTTATTATAAAGGTCATAGAATATATTCAAATAACAAAATGCTTTCTTTGGTTGTTACTATATATATACGGGAATTAATGTCGCAGTTGTTGCAGAAGCTGCGACGTCAATCCCTGTACTAACAAACAAAGAAAGCATTAATTTATTTTTATTGTTTACATTTACATCTGTATTAAAAATCATTTAAAGTAAAACAATCTGTTTAGATAATATATCTAAGAATAATATGTAATTGTATTCATAACTGATGGAACAACCATTGTTCAAGATATTTACGCACGTGGCTTTCATATTGTTGGTCATACATGTACACTGATTAATGGCAATGGCCTTCATGACAAATAAAGGAAAGATATTTAGTGGATGTAAATATACATGTGTAATGCCGATTTCAAACGAAGTTGTTTAAATCCCTGCAGCATCACTTTATCAGTTTGTTGCATGCCTCGCTTGAAAAATGTATCGTTCTCAGCGCAAGCTCTTGATTACCATAAGTACTATGCTGTACCAAGCTTTTGAGGTATCTATAAAAAGCGAAACATTTCTCTCGCTTTTACAATTGAATCTTTTAATACTTTCCTGCAAAACAAAGCACATTACCAATAAAAGAACAAATCAGCCCAAAGCCATTTATTGTTTAAATAACACCCCTTTTCTTATATTTTCATAAGTCTCTTTGTTATCTGATATCATTATATTTGTCGTCCACGTGGGGCAGTAGTTAGACAGTTTGGTCTATACTATAGTGACGAAGAAAGGAGTTGATCCCTGCGTCGCGACTGTGGGATGTTGAGACCTGTCCTTCACAGTACATACTAGGTGCTGGTATGAAAAAGAGTTTGATGTGATGTTATAGTAAAAATTTCAGGTATAATTTATATTGGTCCCACTTCCTTATTGCAGCCTTACGTGTGCTGCGATAGATATACTCTATGACACTTACTTTATCCGTACATGTACCCTGAAATTCAAATTGTCTGTAAATACCGAAAAACATATTGCATATGGGTGCATCAAGTGGTATTACACGATGTCTTAGGAAAAAAAAACTTGTCATCATTAATACTATTAATACATGTACATTGTCATCAAATGTACCATTATAATTATATTTCACTTTGCTATATTTTAGTCGATATTAAGCAAAATGCAACAACGTAAAATGTATTAAAACACTGAGGTAATTTTTTGTTTAGCTTATTTGATCGTTGTTTAACGTACCTCTCGAGAAATTTTCACTTATTTGGAAAAGTCACCATCTGTCGATGGAGAGCTGCATATTTGTTACCTATACGCTGCACTGAGGGCCATTGCACAGGGAAGGGTCTTTTTCGTGCTTTTTCGTGCTAACAGATACTGCGAAACGGGGCCTGGGTTTATACTGTTTTATCCGAAGGACTGGTCTTCAGGTCTCTAAGTGGGATTCGAACCTGCGACGGAAGGATCAACTCCGTACTTCGCGACTTTGGAGAAGACGCTCTTACCATGCACTTACGCCCAAAGTTGTTAAATAATAAGTAACAGGTTTAAAAACTTCACTGGGAAATAAATTGTGTCTGTATATGATGAAAACTTCTAAGCAGGCATTCGACCGTCATAGGATTTGATCATGTCACTGTCCTACTAAAATTAGCGGAAATTCCTTCCCGCCAAAATGAATACAAGGCCAAAAGTACATGCAGTACGTTTACAGTATTTGATCCTCTTGCCCTATATCTTTGTGTAAGGTGAATCGTAAGAGATAGCCTTCCACGTACTTTATAGGCTAAATACATCTGAAATGTTATCGTTCGTGCAGCAGAGTGGGTAGAACATTTTCTATACAGTCACAGAAAAAAGGAATTTACCTTTTCGTCTCGGATTCAAATACCACGGTGGGACGATAAGACCAGTCCTTTGGGTGAGACCATATACATCGAGGTCCCTTGTTGCAGTAGGCATTTTGTAAATTTGCTATGGGCAAAGTGCTGGCATCACAACATGAGTAAGAAACTCTCGAACAGATGTAAAACAAAACAAACAGACGTGTGGAATGAAAAAATCATACATATATTTCCATTCTAATTCTGGGTTACTGAGTTTAATTACTGAAGGCTCTAATTCTCCTACTTGTTTCGAGGTGCCTTGTTCATTTTAAGGAGTGTGGAAAATAATCAATGTTTTAAATGAACACCCTACTAGGTTTCTTATTCTGAATCTCTGAAGCATTTTAAGTACCTATTATTTTTAATCCATAAGGAATATTAGTTTCCAGTCACACTAATTTGGATGTTAATATTTATTAAAACTAATATTTCAAACAGTTAATTTTTAACAATACCTTCGTGATACAAACATTAAAATTTGCTGAATAACCATTATGGTCGTACATATATAATAACTATTTCAAAGCCATATCTAGTAAGTACAGCTATTCAAAAAAACATACACCATGATAGATCGACTGGTGGGAATAGTTTTAAATTTTTTGTGTTTTTTCACATCATCTTTGAATGCAGACAATTGCCAATCTCTGTATTATGATGGTGAAGTTCCTAAATCATCAGACTTGTATGTTTTCGAGACAATTACAACATTTCCATATTCCATGATGGCATTCTGCACCAATAGATGCGTAGATAATCTAGAATGTTTGGCAGTGGACATATGTGATTCTAATGGAGAGAAGAGCTGTAGACTTGTCAGGTTTTTGAAACTTAATTTAACAACTACAGATAGCAGCAAGACCTGCAGAAGATACAAAGTGGTAATTAGATATACAGTAACCTCTTTACAACAATAGGAATACTCATATAAAATATACGATTTTGGAAAAAAGAGTTTAAAATGTTTGGGATTTATTTTTATTTTCCTCTGCATTTTTATTAATTCATCAGGATAAAAGGTGTGGATATGGTCGACATTATGACGAAATCCTTAAAGAGTGCAAGCCATTGTGTAAGTGTAGTTTACTTTGTTTGATCACACATTTAATTTAAGATTAGTCTGCTTTATTGTTAATTATAGCTTGTCATATTGAAATATATGAATTCCATCGTGGTCTTTAAGTAAGATATGAGAGGAAGATATATTACGGGAGTATAAAAGCAATTTTGACCCAGTTCTGTTCAAAAGTACAAATAAAGCTTCTTTCTATCACCTGTAAAAAGAAATTATAACATTGATAGTATTACTAATTAAATTGTATGCATCTTTCAATCTGATATATATTCATTAAAGAAAAGTAAAAATGAACATAATCTTTTCTTGAAAATCAAAGAAGAAAAAAAACGTTTTTTGTCCACTTTTAAATTAAGTGAGTGCAAAGATGGCTTCAATTTTTTTTAAGCAATGAAAAATAATGTATTTCAGTTTTTGAGGTCGCACGTTTATAATTTTGTTAACAAAAGTAACATCAAAAACAATGACAAATAATTATTGCTAATAGTGATAAATAGTGATCAGGTTTAAAAGTCATCCACACAATTCAAATTTTAGAGGACCAATACGGACCTTTACAACAGTAGGGGGATTAGTTGCTAAGATTCTGATCTTCATAAAACATTTTTCTTAATGTTATTCTTTTAAAAATTATTAACTTCATGATTTCAAGAAAAAAGTAAATACCCCCCCCCCCCTCCCCCAAGGTAGATCACTAACCCATGTAAACAGGCCCTGTACGAAAACATGAATGTACGAATACACTCTATGGCCTAACGGAGTTTTGTTTCCTTTCGTTATTTCTTTAATTTTCTAACTTAAAAATGGAATTTTTTTTATATGATAACCTTATAAAAATATTTCATGGAGTTTAATTCGTATTTGTCGATTATTAAAGATTTTGCATCAATATATAAGAACTTCGATTGTCTATTTAAATTTTATCTGTTTCTAGATGTGTGCGACTTTGAGACAATCACAGAACCATCTTGTTTCTTGGAAGAATCACAAAATGATAGATTCAACTGGAACAGATATTCGGTAACCCCTAAAAATGTTTAAATGCAGAAAATATATCGAAGGGTTTTCTCCACCAGAATCTTCTCAATGCCAATGTTTTTTTAATGATATCTCAAAACCACGATTTTAAAATGATGGTTGTTCAGTAAAATTGTATTGTCAAGTTGTTCAGAGTGCAAATAGTCAATGCTGCTGTCTGATTAATTAAAATATATTCCACATTACTCCTTATAGAATATTCAAGCAAATTTCATATACTCTGTAGATATAAGTACAGGTATGCAAAATATGGCATTCATATTATTTAATATGTTATGGTTACAATGTTCGGACGTTTTTTTAAGTGTGTTATCAAGGTACTCTAAATATATTTAACTAAAAAGGAGTAAATAGGAAATCTTTCAACCATTTCTCTTTCAAACAATTGTCTGACAATGTGCGTCGGAGGTATATGTATTTTCTAATAACATTGGAATTAGCCGTCTACCTAAGATTTATTTTTGAAAAGGGGGCCCGAATAGTTTGAGGTCAGGTAACAGCAACACCAACAAACACATTGATTTATCAAATATTGAGTAATTTTTGGGACACAAAAAGGGGGGGGGGCATGGTCCCCTCTTAATCCGGCAGGGATTATTGGAAGTAGCCATATACTAAAGATAACTGTCTTTCATTTTCGTCTTCTTATCGAAAAAAAAATAAGTCCTTAAATTCCCCTGGTGCACTGTAACATCATCAGGCGACATCCTTTTTTCGTCTATTTGTGCTTACAGATACACGTACTGCATTTTTATAGCTCGGGAAGCTCTGTAAATTATGCAAATTCAATGAACTTCTCAGACGACCATTGCAGTCAATATTAATAAAAAAAATTTTTTTTTTATTGTAACCTGATTTATTTTTATTTTTCGTTTTTGAAATAAATATAATTTTGATCATGCATCGTAGGACTAAAAAGCAATGTACGGTGTTATCAGAAAAATAAGACAATTTAACCTCCCTGTAGTATGTCAACTTGATTTATTTGATAAAATGGTTTTACCAGTGCTACTTTATGGTTGTGAAATCTGGGGTTTTGAAAACCTAGATATTATTGAACGTGTACATTTAAAATTTCTGAAACATATTCTGTATTTAAAAAGTATTACCCCGAATTATATGGTTTATGGTGAAACAGGACGTTTCCCACTATCTGTAATTATATATTCAAGAATAGTTTCATACTGGTGTAAGTTACTGAATAGCACAGATAAGAAAATTTCATGTATATTGTATCAATATTTAATTGCTAATTCACAATATGAAATTGGTAAAAACCCTTGGATTGACTGTGTTCATCGCATTTTTGATTCATGTGGACTATCTCATATTTGGAATGAACAGTTTTATTATCATCTTAATCAAGACTGGGTTACTGCTGTTGTTAAACAAAGATTGCAAGATCAATTTATACAAAAATGGTATTCTGATATTAATAGTTCTTCTAGAGGTATTTTGTATAAGACTTTTAAAACAAATTTTGAGTATGAAAATTATTTAAGTATTTTACCACTAAAATTCAGAAAAATACTTGTCAAATTCCGTACTACTAATCACCGTCTACCAGTTGAGCTGGGAAGATGGACTGGTATACCATTAAATGAAAGATTATGTACACTCTGTGATGCAAAACATGTTGCCGATGAATTTCATTTCATACTTGAATGTAATGCACTGTCAAAAATCAGGAAAAAGTATATTAATGAGTACTACTTTACTAGACCTAATATTTTGAAATTTTCTCAACTGATGACAAAACAAGATGCTATGTCGCTTAAAAAACTTTGTATGTTTATATAAAAAATATACGATTTAGTCTGTCCTCCATAATTTTTCCCCTTATTTATGTCATTATTACATGTTTTATTTATTATATTTTTTTCTTCATTTTCTTTTTCCATTTTTCTCCCTTCTCATTTTCTGATTGTGTACATCATATACTTATACCTCTGACCTGATTATATATATATACATGTTGTAAATATTTATCTTTGTCCTCATGTACCATGTATTTAATATGGTGTTGAGCGGATAAATGAACTTGAACTTGAACTTGAACTATCCCCACGCTCATGCAAACATAGTTATCAAACAAGACAAACTATTTTTGGTCCATATTTTGTGAAGAAAAAATAATTAGATATTAATGATGAATAAATGCTAAAAAGAAAATGGGCGTAATTGGCGTTTAATCTGCAGGAATCATTTGTACGAAACATTTATGGTTTAAATGTCCATAATTTGGTTGGCTGACCATAGCTGGTCAGATTTTACAAACACAACTATACGATTTTTTTTCATTTAGTATGAAATGCCTTTTCAGATTATAACATTTATGGCAATTTTTCCTAGGAGGTACAATTACCTAATAATGATTCACAAAAAATAAGCATCTACATATATAAAATTTAAGTCATATGAAACTGACAAATTGATGGATTGTTTGCATAAAAAAAAATAAATAACGCCCCATGCGAGGCTCGAACCAAAAACTTGTTACTTCCACTGCACTGAACAGGTAGCCCAACTTACTGAGCTATCAAAGCTACACATATACAGACGATTTTAAAAGAACAAAGAAGCATTACATACACTTAGTGGGATTTTTTTTTTTGGAAAAAGTTCATTTCTCATGGTCTCTGGGTCTTCTCTCCATTATTTACAAATGTATATTCGTTTCTTTGAATTAAAATGCACACAAATAACGTTTCAAAAGCATGGAGAGAAGACTCAGAGATATAAAAAATTAAGAAAATCGTGTTTAAAAATGTACCTTTTTGTACCAAATGTCTGATCTAGCCAATTTTCAAGTTATTTTTGAGCAAATCAAAATTTACTTTCGGGAAATTATTTTCCTTTCCTATTTCACAGGAACCCGATGAATATAAAATAGGTTTAAATTTCATTTTACATGTTGATTAAATTTTCACTTTTCAAGTACGCCCAGATTCCTGCCGAATGCCAATCAAATGCGCCCTCGTTCTTTCAGTTCTATATGCAATTTTTTTTAAATAATAAAAAAAAAGATTTCGTTTCACATTTTTCCCCCGGAAAATATCTTATGTATGTGTCACAAAGAAGTAGTACAGTTGCACTGCTTGATCAATTGTTCAGTTTTAACTCTTTCAGGACCTAAATACTTTATCTTTTTATTCATTTAAAATCAATAGACAATGCTATGCTGCTCTCTCAATTCATTTGATACAATGTAGTTGCGATGAAAAACGCAACGCTAGACTATACGTTTTCTTTGTTATTGTAATGTAGCATTAAATGAATAATAATGTCGTGGTCGTATTTCAATAGTGGTTACAATCTATGTTCGGTATTGAAATGCACTCTCAGCCACTACTGAAATAATTATTTCAATAGTGGTCGTATTTCAATAGTGGTTGCATATTATGTTTGTTGTTGAAATGCACTCTAAACCACTATTGAAATAATTATTTCAATAGTGGTCGTTATTTCAATAGTGTTTGCAAACATGCATTCTAACATAAATATCTTGAACCTTTTGGGATTGACATATCGAGGTTTGAATATACATGTATTACTCAATCTTTCGATACACATTATACATATATATAATGGTTATTTCCTTCCAATTCACAGGGAAGGACTGGTTCTACTAGTACTGGTCCTAGTGGCGCCAAAGTCGGTAAATACTACAAGTACATAGAAGCATCTTCACCTCGAGTTTTGGGGGACAACGCTAAATTGGTCAGCAATAGAGTTTTTAAAGGTAATTCAGATGTAGACACGTATCCAATAATTCACGAGCACAAAAAATTATTTTAGTATGTATCTTATTCAAAACAAACAACATGTAATCAGTTTAGATTTTAAGAACTATTCAAAGTTAAGGAATTTTTTTTCCTAAGATTCGTGGGTGTGATTTAAAATCAATTTGTTCACATTCTAAGTGAAAGTTTAACAATGGTTCTTAGCAAATGAGTGTTTTTTGGTTCTATTGTGGTTCAAAAGTTTTGATCTAGATATGAATTGTTATAGTTTACAACTTATTACACTTTAAGATTATACTTTTCTTTGTTTGCCTGTTGAATTTGATAGGTTTATATACACTATGAAACAGGTTGTAGGAAAATAAGCATGCACAGGTATGTGTTTTATGGGCTTTATATTTAGTTTATAAGTTTTTTCAGATATTTAAATAAAAAAAAATTGTCTGACAGACAAGTAAGAAATGTTATTGATGATGTCTGTTTATTTTAAATATTTTGTAGACAAAATATTTAGGCGATTTAGTAGAGTAGACTGATGGAGTGATTAATTGTTGTTTAACGTCCTTCTTGAGAATTTTTCACTCATATGGAGAAGCCAGTAATTGCCGGTAGTGGTCTACAAATTCTAGTCTATACTCGGCACTTTGAGCAGTGAGGGATATTTTTCTTACCAGAATTCGGAAATACACGAGCCGTTTAGGTAACGAAAATTTGACGTCACATACAAGTTAAAACAATTAGTTTGAGGATGCAAACGATAACTTTTGGCATAAGAATGGTAATAAATCGTTGTTTATTTAAGTTCTTGCTATACTTTAGTCACCATGTTGGTAGGCTCCACAAAGGATTAATGGGTGTCATGATTTCTTTTTTTTTTTTACACGGGCTAATAAAAATTATTTCAGCAATACGCAGAATTTAACTCGACTTTCTTCCGTTCGTACAGGTTGTCATTGGAGCTCGCTGCGATGCTCTTAAAGTATGGCGAAATTTTTTTTAGCTCACCTGAGCCAAAGGCTCAAGTGAGCTTTTCTGATCACAATTTGTCCGTTGTCTGTCGTCGTTGTTGTCGTTGTCGTCGTCGTTGTCGTTGTCGTTGTAAACTTTTCACATTTTCATCTTCTTCTCAAGAACCACTGGGCCAATTTCAACCAAACTTGACACAAAGTATCCTTGGGTAAAGGGGATTCAAGTTTGTTCAAATGAAGGGCCACGCCCTTTTCCAAGGGGAGATAATCATGAATTTGTTAAAAATTAATGGCATTTTTAAAAAATCTTCTTCTCCAGAACCGCTGGGCCAGGAAAGATGAAACTCATGTGGAATCATCCTCAGGTAGTGTAGATTCAAGTTTGTTCAAATCATGACCCCCGGGGCAAGGGTGGGGCCAAAATGGCCGACCAAACTTTTACATAGGAATATATAGGAAAAATCTTTAAAAATCTTCTTCTCCAGAACCACTGGGCCTGGAAAGATAAAACTCATGTGGAATTATCCTCAGGTAGTGTAGATTCAAGTTTGTTCAAATCATGACCCCCGGGGCAAGGGTGAGGCCAAAATGGCCAACCAAACTTTTACATAGGAATATAAAGGAAAAATCTTTAAAAATCTTCTTCTCCAGAACCACTGGGCCAGGAAAGATAAAACTCATGTGGAATCATCCTCAGGTAGTGTAGATTCAAGTTTGTTCAAATCATGACCCCCCGTGCAAGGATGGGGCCAAAATGGCTGACCAAAGTTTTACAGAGGAATATATAGGAAAAATCTTTAAAAATCTTCTTCTCCAGAACCACTGGGCCAGGAAAGATATAACTCATGTGGAATCATCCTCAGGTAGTGTAGATTCAAGTTTGTTCAAATCATGACCCCCGGGGCAAGGGTGGGGCCAAAATGGCCGACCAAACTTTTACATAGGAATATATAGGGAAAATCTTTAAAAATCTTCTTCTCCAGAACCACTGGGCCAGGAAAGATGAAACTCATGTGGAATCATCCTCAGGTAGTGTAGATTCAAGTTTCTTCAAATCATGACCCCCGGGGCAAGGGTGGGGCCAAAATGGCCGATCAAAGTTTTACAGAGGAATATATAGGGAAACCTTTTAAAATCTTCTTTTCAAGTACTTCAAAGCTATGATTAGTGATATGTATATGGAATCATCCTCAGGTAGTGTAGATTCTAGTTTGTTCAAATGATGAACACCTGGAGGGGGGGGGGGAGTAAATTCAAGCCCGATATGCTCAGGTGAGCGCTGTGGCCCCTGGGCCTCTTGTTCTTCAGATTATCATTTTTTATCAATAAAAAGAAGAATTTGAAAATGCCAAAAGTCTGGAGAGGTGATATTTAAATTCCTGTGTTTAATTTTCAGATGAGACATACTGTCTTTCCATGTACTACAACATGTATGGACAAACGACCGGAACTCTTAAGATTCAGACCCGGACCGGAAATGACACGGCAGTGACTCATTGGAAGAAGTCAGATGGCCAAGGAACCAAATGGCACAGCATTGAACTCTACCTCCCTCTTAACGACAACACTGAGGTAAATCAACTTAGTCTTGTAACATAAATGGACGATATTAATATTTTAAACATGCTCAATGCTTGTTCACATACATGTAATATTGACCAGTATTCCAAATTTAATTAATGAAGAATACTGCATTATAATAATTTGTTAAATTTATAAAAGGACTGAAAGTACTCGGTAGCCCTAAGCATTGATTGCAATAGGGAATTAATAAGAATTATTTGACCTACAATTTCCTGTTATATTGATGTACTTGTTAGTAAAATGTTGACTGTGTGACCATTGGGGCGAGCAGAGTTTTAAATAAAAATACACGTATGACATATTAAAAACTCAAGAGTATTTTCCTTACATATTTTGATGCAGTGCTTTTAAGTGCTTTAGTAAAATTTACATGGAATATAAAGATAACGACCAGTGATCAAGCTCAAACGTTCATTGTAAACTGCCTTCCCTGGCAATTTATTAACAACAAGAAAATGTGTTTCCATCTATGTTAGAATTACAGACTAAATCACAAGAAGCATAAGAACAAATTCTATAAAAAAAAATATTTCTTATCTACTACTGATTGATGCTAGAATATGATTATTCCGTTTCTTGTAGGCAGCTAATTGACTGTTTTACTATAAATAGCAAAACAGGAGATAAACAAAAGCCTAACAGCGTCACACTAGAAGCTTCCTATACAAAATATAGTCAAAGTGAGAGACGAAACTTACAAAAGTATATTTAACAACTTAATCTTTTGAACTAATAAATGTATATTTTTTAAAAATTAAATTGAAGACGGAATGAGGTGATTACGTTGTCGTTTTATAACATTTTGCCACAAACACAGCTTAATGAGTATAAATAAAATTGCGGGATTTTTGACAGGTTATTACACTTAGCTGTTGAAAATCTCATTATTATGCCATCCTCCTTTAATATTATGGAGATACCATTTCCCCTTTTCCTTTTGTACTTCTTTTAAATATATGGTATTTTTATTAATATGGTTGGTTGAAATTGACTGATTTTAAACGATTAGCTGAAATCTTACTCTATGATTTAACCCTGCATTGATTACAAGAAAGCATGGTATCAAAATGAATTAACCGTTTACAGTTTAATCTAGCTTCACAAGATTCATATCTTGTAATTGTGAATTGTTTGAAATAAAAATCACATATCTGAATGAAATTGATATCGTTTACCGTTGATGATATGCTGATTTAGTTTTTAAAACAAATAAACAAATTTATTATAATTAATTTTAGGTAATTAAAGAGTTTGAGGATTTGATTTAATTTATGCTTTGGCCTAGTATATATAGTGTATCACTGTATCAACTTGGTGATAAAACATATGGTGTGCTCTTTTGTTTAAAACAAAGAGAACATCTCTAAGCATATATGCATTATTTCAACATTTATAGTTTATATTGCTGAATCAATTGTGAAATATTACAAGATTTCTTTTATGCCGTTTAGAGTCAGCATTTAGCATATTTATTCATTTAAGAAATAAAGAACGTTATTCAGTGAACATGGTAATACATGTATGAATAGCAAACAGCAGAGCTATTGCTATTCATATTGATATGTTGACTGAATAATCCTTGTTTATTACTTATATTTGCATTCTTTGATGATGACAAGAATATCAGAGAAAATAATGGCTTACATAAGGACGCGGCTTCTTGTCTGCAGTAAAGAAAAACACACGACTATAAAATAAGTAGACCTGATCATTGCACCTTTTCACTAATAAATCACCAACAATTTATAAAGTATTTTCATCTCAAACACATTTATCTGCATACTAGCTGTGCCGTAATCACATTCTCTTAATTTTTGTTTTGATGCAGTTGTGACGTCATCAATCAACGTTATTGAAAACCTCTGACAAAAATCAATGATTTAACACTTTGATAAAAAAGACAATGCTTTAATACTGATTATAACTCCAGAATGCTTTTCTATGATATTTAAGTTCTTCTATTTATTTTTAAGAGCTGGAATCGTTTTTAAAATATTATATGATTAAACGTTCATTTTGAAAAATTTATCGATGTGTAAACTCTTGACATTTTACTCACAAACTGAATAAAAGTGCGAAGCACTTTTATGTTAAGTTTGTGAGTAAAATGTCAAGAGTTTACACATCGATAAATTTTTCAAAAAGAACGTTTAATTCTTTTAATTCCAATATCGAATTTTTAAAAATATTCAAATTATTTCTCTTTGAGGCCTCCATACAATCCGTTAGTTCTGGACGGCGTAGGGATACATCTTACCGCAAAGGAACGTAATCGAGATGAATTTCGATAGAGTTCAGCTTAAATTTGTCAAAACAATCGATAAATAAACTTATAAAGACTTATCGAATGTTGTTTAAGTCAACAAATATCGTAATTACGAGTTTACTTCAGAATAGTTCGTCCTTGACCATGGCCATGTTGACATAAACGACATCTCTCATAGCGAAAGTTGCAGACCGACGACGCCTTCGATTTGCACTTGTTTGTTCAAAGATTGAGGAACAATATAGAGAGTAAATATGAATTTGATGCTTATAGGGCAAGAAATTGAGGTACGTTTCTTTTCCCTGTCTAAACGATACAAACTGAGTTGATTATAAATCTTCGTATATTATGAACGTTGAGACAGCGATTTTTAAAATTCACACTCGTGATCGAACAGTGACATTAACATTTTCATGGCGTCCGTCAGCTGGGCAGCCTAGCATGTCGCCAGTTTTGTTTTAATTAATTAAATTTGAAGTTTCTTGTATCTATAATTTATCCAAAACAGACAATAAATAACTGCTTTCGTTGTTTATACAATAAACTACATGTAGAAGCTTAGTCAAAAAAGTAGTTCTGATTGAAAAAAAATTTTATCGATGTGTAAAAATTTTCTTAAACGTGTTCTCGTCCAATCAAAACACAGGAATTCAATAGATACAATGAAGACTGGAATTATATACTATTAAAGAAATTTAAAACATCCAAGTGTGAAGAGTTATCGTTCTTTGTACCAATATGCAAAAATATAAGAAAAATAAAAATATGGAGTTCTCTTCAATTTTTAAAATGTTATACAATTAATTGTTAAGCAATTAATACAAATCAATACACTTTTACTATTAATTATGACCTTTTTTAAGACTTACCCTTTTGCCAAAAAATGCTTTAATTCAGTACTGTTACAAATATAATTTATGTTCCGTAGTTCTCCTGCTAAACGACTGAGTTTGTTTTTTTTGTTTTGTTTTTTGTTTTTTTTTTTTTTTTTTTTTTTGTTAAAAGCAGGCAAAAACAAATTACATCATGTAGAAGTGAAATACTGTAAACGTATTACATTTGGCTGTGTATTCTTTTTAGCGCTTTTGGAGTAAAGTAACTTCCGCTAATTCAAATACAACGCTAAGCATCTTGCACATATATACATAAATAAGAACATTGAGAAATGCACTAAATCAAATCTACGCTAACTCGTTCAAAAATCAATTTCCGCTAAATATTGTACACGCTAAATATAATACATTTACAGTATGTCATTTATTAAAGTAAATGACGAAAGTAAAACACAGCTAACAAAATGGGGGTCAGAAAATACCTTATAGAGTATTACACATCTTATGCAACATTTTACACAATCTGAGCCCAGCACAACAATGGCATTGATGTACATGTACATAGGCAAAGGGTGGTCAACCAGACAGGAATAAGAATTCAAACCCTGTTATCTTTCACAAGGTACAATATACATGTATTTCAAGTTAACCCCCTTATAAACTTATAAACATTATAAGTTTCAAAGACATACAAAATGCTTTAAACTGTTGTCTGCCATCAAAACAGTGGATAAAACAAAATAACAAACAGCCATGAACACACAATATGCTTCCCTCGCCGCCTAGGGAAAACCATAGATAAAAAACAACACTGATTTATGTTGAAAAAAATCACATGGATATTATATATAATTATCGATTCGCTATAGAAGCCATTATATACGACAGTCTTTTACTTTTTTCTGTTTGTCATATTGTTAAATAGGCTTACAGCAATCAGTCAAACGTATTTATTTTTAAGTTGCTTTGCTTTTATAGTTGTCACTTGCTTTAATTTTAGATAATCATCGAAGCCATCAGAGGGTCAAACTTCTACAGCGATATCGCCGTCGACTACATAGTGTTATGGCCCATTGCTTGTCCTTGAGGAGGTTATTTCAGTGACCAGACAAAAATCTACACGCATCTGAATAATATTTTTGATATTAACTCTAATCTATGTATTATCTATATGAAAATGGCACATTTCAGGGAGAAAAAATCTCTTGACTTTCGTATTTCGAAGTTTCGTGTTTGTACACTGTATATTGTCATCCTTTAAATTGTATCAAAATCCTGATACATGTATTTACCTCAAAGTCATGTATATGTAATTTTAATGACTTTAAAGGTTTGCAGATCTTGATATTTGACATTAATTAGCTTGTGTAAAATTACGGATATTTTGTATTTTGAGTGAATGTCGAGGACATTAAAATGGATCAGTTCTTCCGTCCGCCTGTCTTTCTTTCTTTCTGTATGAATTTTATTTCCCTGCGATATTTCGAGAAACATTGAACTTTTACAATAAAAATCCCTATTGATTTTGAGGTCAAAAGATCGAGTTCTTTAATTTATACATCTATTTTTATGGAATATCAAAAGAAGATTTTGAGCCTTTGCAATGAAATTTTATACCATGCCTCTCTATGGCACAGATTTGAACCTGTAAAAAATATTTGTTTTAATCATCTGTCCGTCATTAACATTTTACTGTAATTATTTGCAAAGAACACTTTAATGTTAGATATAACAATCCATCATGCTAATAAGATTCCAAGGAGTTACCATGCTCAATGTCTAATCTTGTTCCCCATGGTAATTCTTTGGTTTGAAAGACTTCCTCCTCTTTAAAATTAATAAAATGAATCCTAGATCCAAGTTCACATGACAGACGATGCCTTGAAGTGCTTTTTTTGCCGTGTTTAGATATCGGGCAACTATTTTATCTCATGATTTAGCCTTCACCTTTCAGTAAAGGATTTCTCTTTTAAAAATAAGATCAATGAACTTTTTAGTGTAAATAAATACGACTAATTGTCGCTCACCTATTATTTTTTTTATACCAAGAGAAGAATATTTCAAAACGATTTTCTTCTCTACATATTTATGAAAAATATTACTCCCTAATTGGTCCCTACCTGCGGGCCATATGATTTAAGCAAACAGTCTTGAAGCTGCACATCTGAGATTGATTACAAATGCTGGAGAAGAAATAAATATTTTAAACATTTTTCCTCATAGAATTTTCATTGTTGCTGATAGTTTCACAGACCCCTGGTGCCATGTTTTTATCAAACTTGAATTTCCACTTTGTTTAAAAGTTTTTCAAACAAGTTTTGTCTTTTTTGTCTCCGTGATTCTTGAGAAAAACAATTTACGATCCCAATAATTTTTATTTTTTATTAAGTATCTTTCCTTTTAAAAATAGACTAAATACTCATTTTAACAAGCTTGAACTGTTTACTCAAAAATATGATTTTTGGTAAGGTTGATTTTAATATTCCTTTTTATTCTAGAGAACTCAAAAGTAAGAAAAGCTTATACTTAAGGAATGAAGCTTATTTCAACTTATGTTATACAATGTAACATAACTTGGGGCAGTTTACGCTTTATAAACCGCGAAATAAGCTTCGTTAATTCCGAGTATCAAAAAATAATGATTTTATAGTTATGAAATTATATGTCAAAACGTCTTGCAAGTTTAATGTTTCTGGTCAATAATAATGACATTCTATAGCAGCCTTAAAAAGGAATTCTAGATTGAAGTATTCCTTTTGAAGAAAAGTTTCCTGACAATGACAAACAATGACAAACAGCAATTAATCCTCTTCACTAACCCTTCAAACCATTTAAGTTACATTTGAATTGTCTTTGAGATATCAGGGAATACCTTGTTTGAGAAAGGTTTATGAATTATTCAAGATCTCGAGTCAAACTAATTAACTCATTAACAAAGTAAAGTTAAATATGCGTATCCCATTAGCTGTTAAAACATAATTCAATACCTTGGTACTTGAGAAGCCTTATTCTAAGTTGTTTTAAAATCCCTATCACAGGTATAATTAGTTGTAATGACACCTTAGGGTATTTCACTGTGTATCCATTCCTGCAGGTAGAGTGCTAGCTCCAAGGCAATCACACCTGTACAAAATTAGCCTCTCCCTCACCTGGAATAAAATACCACCCGGTAAAAATTCTCTGCCTTAAAATGACCATTTCTTTTTCTTCTTTTTTTTCTCAATCATATTAAGCCAATTTGGAAATTTATTTTTGTTGTTGTTTAAAATGTTGTTGAAATATTTAAGATAACTTTCTTATCTGCATTATATCTAGTTACATTTATATCCACATATATTACTTGCACTTACAAAAAGAAGACTAATGTTAAAATGTAAAATTTTACATACATGTATGTATCTTGTTACAGTGATGTTTATTAATCAAATTTAGTTGTCTAAAATGATATAATATATTACCTTTACAATATTAAAATATGTAGGAGTTGATGCCTCAGATTTAATTACACCGGGAAAACAAAGACAATCTGCGCATAATGGTATAAGAAAAATCAGAGGCATAAAGAAAAACCTTTGTAAAGGAGTTGACTCCTCAATTTTTTTAAAACCTTAAGTACGACTTGGTTTGTGTACGAGTTGACTGTAAATCATCTGAGATCTCAACTCAATCTCCCTTGCAGAGTTGTCGTTCGTTCCTCTCTCAGACACCTCTGCAATGGGCTCACGTCAAGATTTTTGACATAACGTATAAAACGTGATATATGAAGAATTGTTTCAATTCAAATCAATAGTTCTGGATTGATTTAGTAAATATCTACTCAGACATAAGCATAGAAATTGAATTGTAATGAATTAAAACAAACGCACTATTTCTCGTGTTTAACACTGTGTATACGCGAGCCAACGACAGAGGTGAATTTATGAGCCGATGGTAGAGAGTGATCTCAACTGCGCTTGGCAATCGTAGTAAAATAATACATCATTCGATGAATTGTCGCAACAGAGATGCAAGAACTCGGAAAGAAGAATTTGGTGATTTGATCAGATTTTAGTCAATAATTGATTTAAAGACTAAATTTTCAGGATTAATTCACGTACATTTAAATCAATTTAGTCTCATTCATATTCATTTCTTTGAGATATTGGTTTAACATGCTTGAATTAGTTCATTATCATCTCAACACAAAGTGAAGCAACTAGCAAGTGAGTATATAAATCAGTAAATGGTCAAAGTTATATCAACTGGTACAGATAGTATAGCTGTATATGAGCCTTGGGTAAATTCACCTTTCAACAGACACTAAACAGGTGTAAATAAAAAGAAATACATTTTATTATCAGAAAAAAGTGTTAGGAAGGAGCATGTTACATGTTACATGTGAACAAAGGTACATGTTACATGTGAACAAATAATGAAATATGACTGTATCAAACACAATAACAGAAGTACAAATCTGTGACTTTGACACATTTTCAATTGAAAGACATGTAAAAAGTACTGTCAGAATTATGAAGTTCATATCTTGGATTCATTTATCATGTTAATTAATTATGTTAAATTAGCAGCTGTCATTATAATCATAATCATTCAGAGAAGTTAAAGAAATATATTGTAACATAGATAACCTGCGTAGACCTAGATATTCATATGATAGATACATGTAAAATATCATTTCAATGTGTACAACCACTGCAAAGAAAATGAATGGCAACTGATGGTAGACAGACAAATCATCAGTAGCAAGACAATATGCCTTATTGGGGGTAAATAACAAAAAATGATAATGAAAAAAAAATATTTTGAGAATACTACATGTTACATTCTTCAGCACTAGAAATAAAACACCACTCTTAATGGTGCTTAAGGTTACTTATTGTGGTTATTTCAGATTTGTTATATATTTAATAGGTTGGTGGGATAATTTCTCCCATCACATACCAAAAATATGGGATAAATCCTATATTGACATCAATTAGTGGGATATTTTGTCCTGTGGGAAAAATAATCCCATTTTTGCCACAACCGTGGGATTTTTTTTCCCATGTGGGAGAAATTATCCCACAGTACTTTTTCTCCCATGGGATTTTGGTGGGATTTTTGGTGGGATGAAAAATCCCGCCATTCTCCCATGGGATTTTAGGTTTTGACAGAGGTTTATGAGAAAACTACTACAATGTGGAAGTTGAGATTGACATGATGAGGTCAGAATAAAAAATCCCATCAAAATATAGAAAAAAATCTAATGTAGGTCTTTTCGAAAGGGTACCTAAAAGTCCGGACTTTGTCGTGTCCGGACTTAAATGTCGCAGTGTTTAGGACTATTTGAAATACCCTCTGATTTTATTCAGTTTTCCTTTGCTTGATTGATAAAAGCTAATTAAGTGCTGCGTGGATTAAGAATACATGTATATGTGAGTACTTTAATGAACGAGAAAATATTTAACATATCAAAGCAGTATCGGGGTTTGTAAAACATGCATCATCAAAATATAGTGCCAGTTGAACATACAAATGTAATTAAATACCTGGGGCATATGTCTCACGAAACTATTTTTTTTTCATTTAACACTCGCAAGTTTTCATATTTAAAGTTTAATTTTTTTCCACTAAAGTGCACATATAAAGAAAAATGTAATTACTTTTTTGTTTTCCCCACAGCATCAGATATGTTAGAGGCTACAGATGTAACATGAAAAGCTCTCAACGGTTTTTTTATTTGATTCAGACAAATTTTACAGACTAATAGATATTTTAAGTATTTTTTATACCTAGGTCACAAACAACATTGAAAAGATTCCTGAACCTCCCTCCCCTTCTTCAAACACATAAAATACAATAGCAACAATCTTTACTTTGCTGTACGATTGCAAGGAAATATTAAACTGAATATGACTGCGAGAGGGTATGTCTATCATACTACATATTAACTCCCAGTGGTAGAATTTCTGTCTTAAATTTATGATTCCAAATAATATAAAATAATGTGTGAAAATTCACATCTTTTCATAAATTTTGATTTCAGCATTGAAAATATGCTTAAAACTATTCATATAAAAAATCTTCAATTAAGCTAATCAAAACCCATTAACAACAATTAGATCAATGTATTTGGCAATGCGCACCTGTTCAAACAACAGAACCGCTTATACTGCCTTTTGACGTCACATGCATAATTCCCTGAGTAATTGATTAAAAGCTTGTTAAGTGCCACATGCTTCATATATAAATATATTCAATGGAAATGCAGCCAGTTCTGATATTGATTAATTTGTCCTTTCATCATGTTTCTGAAAAGAGTT